CTAAGGTACGCCTGACTCAAGCCATAATGTTTTCAATCGCCTCATATGCATGCAAAAGCTGGACAATGAATAAAGAAGATTGAAGAAGAATTGATGCCTTTGAATTAGGGTGTTGATGAAGAATACTGAATATACCACGGACTGCCAGAAGAATGAACAAATCTGTCTTGGAAGAAGTACAGCCAGAATGCTCCTTAGAAGCAAGGATGGTATTATGGACTGAATTGTGTCCCCTAAAAATGTGTGTCAACTTGGCTAGGCCATGATTCCCAGTACTGTGAGATTGTCCACCATTTTGTCACCTGATGTGATTTTCCTAGGTGTTGTAAATCCTATCTCTATGATGTTAATTAGGCAGGATTAGGGGAAGTTATGTTAATGAGGCAGAACTCAATCTACAAGATTATGTTGTGTTTTAAGTCAATCTCTTTTGAGATATAAAAGACAGAAGCGAACAGAGAGACTGGGGGACCTCATACCACCAGGAAACAAGAGCCAGAAGAATAGCACAAGCTTTGGACCCGGGGTCCCTGCGCTGAGAAGCTCCTCGACCAGGGAAGATTGATGACAAGGACCTTCCACCAGAACCAACAGAGAGAGAAAGACTTCTTCTAGAGCTGGCACCCTGAATTTGAACTTCTAGCCTCCTAAACTGTGAGAGAATAAATTTATCTTTGTTAAAGCCATCCACTTGTGGTATTTCTGTTACGGCAGCACTAGAGGACAAAGACAGATGACAAGACTTTGTCTGACATACTTCAGACATGTTATCAGGAGGGACCAGTCCCTGGAGAAGGACATCATACTTGGTAAAGGAGAGGGTCAGTGAAAAAGAGGAAGACCCTCCATGACATGGAGTGACACAGTGGCTGCAACAATGGACTCAAGCATAACAACAATTGTGAGGATGGTGCAGGACTGGGCAGTGTTTTGTTCTGTTGTACATAGCGTCGCTATGAGTCAGAACCAACTCCACAGCAGCTAACAACAACAAGACAAATATTTGTCTAACTGATGCTAAATAAGAACCATATTTACCTGTTCCACCTTACCTACAAATTCCACTCAGAGACAGACTTAGAAACAGATATTGTTCATAACTCAGGAACTGCCTATATAACCTTATGGGACCACGGACATATATGCAGTAGGATATTGCCCAGACAGACGTTATTCGTCACATGATTGTATATACACAATGAAATATTATTTGGCAGTAAAAAAGGAATGAAGTACTGATACAAGCTACAACATGGATGAACCTTGAAAACATTATGCTAAGTGAAAGAAGCCATTCACAAAAGACCACATAGCCATATATGATTCAATTTATATGAAATGTCCAGAATAGGCAAACCTGTAGAGACAGAAAGTAGATTAGTGGTTGCTTAGGGCTGAGGGAAGTCAGGGTAGGGGAGTGATAGCTAAGGGATACAGTTTCTTTTTGAGGTAATGAAAATATTCTAGAATTGACTGTGATGATGTTACACATATCTGAGAATATACTAAAAATCATTTAATTGTATACTTTAAATGGGTGAATTTTATGGCATGTGAATTCTATCTCAATAAAGCTGTCATTTTTTTAAAGGATGCCAGCTAATAAATGATGAACAAATGATAGAATATCAACATCTTTCAAACCCCTAATAAAATATTGGTTACACTATCATTGGCCACTGGGTGAGAGAAGAGACACTCAGACATTGTGGACCTCCTAATGGAAGCTGGGAGCCCTGGTGGTACAGTGGTTAAGAACTACAGTGAGCTACAGCTGCTAACCAAAAGGTTGTCAGTTCGAATCCACCAGACGCTCCTTGGAAACCCTATGGGGCAGTTCTCTGTCCTATAGGGTCACTATGAGTCAGAATTGACTCGATGGCAATGGGTAGTAATAATGGAAGTTGTTATGGATTGAATCGTGTCCCCCAGAAATGTGTGTCAACTTGGCTAGGCCATGATTCCCAGTATTGTGTGATTGTCCACCATTTTGTGATCTGATGTGATTATCCTATGTGTTGCAAATCCTAACTTCCATAATGTTAATGAGGCAGGATTAGAGGCAGTTATGTTAATGAGGCAAGACTCAAATCTACAGGATCAGGTTGTATTTTGAGTCAATCTCTTTTGAGATATAAAAAAGAGAAGCAAGCAGAGAGGAGAGGGACCTCATACCACCAAGAAAGAAGTGCTGGGAGCAGAGCACGTCCTTTGGACCCAGGTCCCTGTACTGAGAAACTCCTAGACCAGGGGAAGATTGATAACAAACACCTTCCCACAGAACTGACAGAGAGAGAAAGCCTTCCCCTGGAGCTGGCACCCTGAATTCTGACTTCTAGCCTACTAGACTGTGAGAAAATAAATTTCTGTATGTTAAAGGCATCCACTTGTAGTATTCCTGTTATAACAGCACTAGATAACTAAAACATAAGCACATAATGCCATCTGTAAAGTCTTTTCACCAAAACAAACCTGAATCAGCTCAAGCCTCTGGATCTAAATAACAGTTTCCAGGAAATACAGAGAACAGAGAAACATGTTAAACAACATCATGAGGATACAATCAGCAAAATCCAGAATGTGGGGAAAAAAACTACAAACCAAACAACTTTGTTTCTTCAAAAACTAAATTGCAAGAAAAGAAAAAAAGAGGAGAAGGGGGAACTATAGATTAAAAGAGATTTTAGAAATGTCAGCCTTGAGCATCGTGCTCTTTTAAGATCTATCTATATGGGATCAACCTGACAATAACAACTCAAAAAATTAGACAGGAAACTTAGGGAGCAGTGAGTTTATGTTAATAGAGGGAGGGACAACTCAGAAAAAGAGAGTGAGAATGGTTACACAACTCAAAGAATGACACTGAATTGTACATGCAGAAATTGTTGGATTGGTGTTCTGCTGTGTATACTCTCAACAACAACAACAAAAATAAAATAAATTTTTAAAGAATTATTTTTTTAAAAAGAGAGATTTTAGAACATACCAGCCACACCTAATTCATAAACTTACTTGCATCCTAATTCAACTGTATCAACTGTAAAAAAAGAAATAATAATACAATCAGGGAAATTTGAACACTGCCTGGATATTGATAATCTTAAGCAATTATTATCAATTTTTTGGTATGAAATGATTTTGGGGTTGTGTTTTATAAAATCTTTTCCTTTTAGATATGCATATGGAAATATTTATGAATGAAATGACCTTTGCTTCAAAATAATCTAGAAAGTAAGTAGAGGTAGAGTTGAAATAAGATTGGCCATAAATTTGTCATTGTTGAAGTTAGGTGCATGGGGTTCATTAACTTCTGCAAATATTTCAAATTTTCCTATTAAAAAATAAATAAATAGGAGCTGGGACCCAAACTAATCACAGGTAGTACACCAGGAAGGGAATGAGATGTGAGGTTAAACATTATTCTGTGTAATCTAACATGACTTCTGGAGAAGAAAGTAAAAGAGGGGCAGAGTGGAGTGATGAAAAAAGCTCTGACCTGGGGCCAGGAGACCCAGACCTAACTCAGCTCCACCACTTCTCAGCTGATGACCTCAGGCAAGGCATATCCCCTCTCTGGGCTTCGCTGTCCTCATCTTTAAAATAGGAGCTTCAAACTAGATGACCTCTAAACTGTGAGGTTAAATTCTTCCGCCTTAAAACTCCTCCCAAATGATGGGTATGTGCAGGTCCAACCCTAACTTTTGCAGGACCCAGAACAAGAGTACAAAAGTAGGCCGACAAACCATAATGTCTAAATATTTAAAAATTATAAATCAAACTAAAAAATTATTAAATAAAATATATTCTCTCCTCCTACCTTGAAAAACATATCTTCATAGTGACCCACAAAGCTGGGTTCAAATTTAGAGTTCACGGATTCCTTGCAGTTCCACACCTGACATGCAGCTTGGGAAGAACTAGCCCCAGTCCATGGCCCAGCCTTCTCTTCTCATCCCGAGCTCCCACTCTTACTGGGAAAGACCACATGCAGATATCCCAATCCTCGTGTCCAAGCTCTGGGCACATCCCCCTCTAAATAACTTCCTCTCAGCCATCTCGGACACAGCAGTGTACACACTGGTGGCACAGTTCACTCTTGGGAGGATGGACCCAGGGAAGAGGCCTGCACAGGCCCTGGAAGCAGGCTTGAAGCCATTTGGGCAGGGAATTCCAGGGCTTCAGGTACCAGAAGCAAGGTCTAAAAGGGGAGACACAGGCTCCAAGGCATCTCCTTGGCCAGGCATACTCCTCTCCCTGTGGGGAAGGGCATGCCAAGAAAAGGGCCAGAGCAGGACTCCGATCAAGGGCCTGTCTTGCCCAGATTTAAGGGTGGTACTTGGCACATAAGGGTTTCATTATATTATTCTCTCTACTTTTACGTAATTTCAAAATTTTATATAATTAAAAGTTTTTTTTAAGTACTAAAACATGAAGAAAAAAAATCCTTCTAAAAACAGCTCAAGGTCTCCTGAGATTTTAAAATGCTGAGTCCTTATGAGTATCACTGAAACTTTCCTGCAGACTCAATTTCTTAGAAACTGGAGCTTTATACTCTTCCAGGTGGATATAAGTCCAGTACTACATATATTGGGACACAATGAATATTATTTGAGAATGATGTGGCTCTCATCCCCAGAAGAAACTATTTCCAGAGAATGAAAGGAAAAGCTAGGAACACAGTAGAGGTTTGCAACAGGCCAAATTCAGCTTCTTTCAACTGCAAGCCTTACAGACCGCAGAAACTAAATAAAAGTGACTCAGAAAACAAGAAAAATGTCTCTTCTCCTCCCAGAAACAGAGAATGAGTCTTTTAACTAAAAAGCAGCTGTGTTTAATCACTAAAACTGTTCTGGCCCTAGTGGAAGAGAAATAATCTAAATGTAAAAAGGGTGGGGCTTTTTCTCTCTCACTTATTTCAGAGGCAAGTAGAAGTGAAGAAAGAAAATAGGATCCCTAAGCTCAGTCCCTGGTGAAGGCTCCAGGGAGCAGAAGTCCCCTCTCCTTTCCGTTTACGTCAAAGGCTGATGTCTTCAGGATTAAGCACCTTGCTCTAGAATGGGGTTATGCCTTCAGCCTGTGCCTCCAGAGACTTTTCACTCTGTGCTCTGGAGGGTTGATTCTCCTCATCCTCATTATCAGTGGCCTGAAGAATCCTCAGAAGTTTGAGCTCAGGGTTCCAGGTGGTTCCAGTGGTACTGGCTGAAACGTTCTTGGAGGTCTTCTCTTTGCTGGAAGTCTGGGATTCCAGCTCAATCTCCACCTGAGCACCAATGTCCTCCTTAGTGGACTCTGTCTTGACTAATTCAGTACCTAAAAGAATACCTAAAAGAAAACCCAGCCATTAATTGCATCTGTAGCCCTCTCTCAAATTGGGAAAAATTGGGGGGAGGGGACAAGAAAGGAAGGGCTGGAATGTCTTCAGGGCCCCTTTGAAGGCTGAGTACTGTGCCCTCCAGAGAGGTAAACCAACCTGGTCAACACAGGTTCAGCTCTCCCTGTCCTCAGTCACTCACTAAGGCTCCTCCACCCTAACAACTTACTCCTGTGACTGGTGAAGGAGTCCAGGTAGTTCTCAAGGTGGTCCATCGCTGGCTCCTCTGTGGCATCCTGAAATTCACTGGGGTAAGTAAATCAAGACTTTGGGAAACTAAAAGGATTTTTCTAGAAGATATTTTTCTTGAAGAAATTGACTTCTAATATAGGTCAAAGAACCATCTCCTGAGGCTGAAGAGAAGCTTGTATCATACATTCTTTGCCCACCAGACTGTACGGATGAAGCCACAATCCACTTCTTCCCCTTCCCAGTAATCAACTAAGGGCTTGTGGTAGGTTGCTTCTGCAAGAGGCTGCACAGGCCTGGCTCAGTATTATTTACTCCCCATTGCTAACCGCCACATTGTTTCATGATCTTGTTTCTCCAGTCTCTACAAAAGGTTTAAGATTAACCCATGTTCCTCCTTGGAGGGTGGAAAACAAGTGATAATGATCTAAGGATGAAAACCGAACAAAGCACCCATCTCAGGACAAGAAAAACCAGAATGTCGCCAGATAATCCCCAAGAATGTCACCAGATAATCCCCAAAAATGTCGCCAGATAACCCCCAAGAATACCAGTAGAAGATTAACTCATCTGAGACGAGACCACCTCAAGGGGAAACTAATACAAACTTCTAAGACCCATAATGCTGCCCCTATAAAAGCCTTCAGCCAATCTCCAGTGGGAGAGACGGGTTTTTTGGAGGAATCTATTCCCCTCTGTCTCCTATATATTGATATTTAATAAATCTCTTGCTGCTCACCTCACGCCTGTCTCAGAACTGGCCATTGTGGCAGGCGGCTCCAATCTGCGTTATTGCGGTTATACTTCCAAGATGGTTGCCAAAAATTCCTCCCATTCCTGTATACATATGCTGTTCCTTCTATCAAAAGGTGGACGTCATTTCCCCTCTAATGATTCTGTGCTGACCTGGTAACTTTTTTGACCAATAAAATGTGGCAGAAGTGACAATGTGGCGGTTTAGGCTTACCCCTTAAGAAAGTGATTTCATTTTTTTGAGACCACTGTGCTGTCAAGAAAGGATCCTTCGTGGTGCAGTGGTTAAGCAGTCAGCTGCTAACCGAAAGGTCAGCAGTTCAAACCCACCACCCACTCCACAGGAGAAAGATGTGGCAATATGCTTCCATAAAGGTTACAACCTGGAAACCCTATAGGGCAGTTCTACACTGTCCTATAGGGTCACTATGAGTCAGAATCAACTCAACGGCAACAGGTTACGGGTTATGCTTTCAAGAAGCCCAAGCTAGCCACATGGAAAGGCCACATAGAAGAAAACCAGTGCAACCTGGCCAACAGCCCCAGTCCAGCTTCTAGCTGAACGCAGCTGCATGAATGACCTCTAGCAAGACCAGAATAACTGTTCCGTCAACCCACAGAATCATGAGAAATAACAAATCACTGTGGTTTAAGCTTTGGGGTAGTTTGTTACACAGCAATAAATACCTTAAACAGGGCCCTATGGCCCTGGTACACACTCACCTGTTTCAAGGTAGGTCCTTCTATCTCCATCTGCTGCTGCTGCTTTGTATCATTTTCCTGATCTGGCAGAGTACTGTGACCTAGTGACCACAAAGTCAATTCAGTCCTCCTCTTATTGGCTTTTCATATACCATTGTCAAGTTTCTAGTTGACCGCTAGTCTACAAATGACTTGTCTCCAGGACAAGACTGGACCTTGGTGGCAGGTAATAGGGAGCTAGGCCTTCTGCGTCTGTTAGTGATTCGGTACACCTGGGACTGTGAACCCATCTATTACAAAATTAGAGGTGAAGATAATGTGTGTGCTAAAACACCCAGAATTCCTCCAAGAAACCTACAGGGCGGCACCTACACATTACGGCAACAAAAGAAACTCTAACTCTACCTTTTCAGTTTATGAATACTCCTCTTACCAGAATGTGATTCACCTTCTGCTGCTTTCTCTAACGTACCCATGTTGGTTTCTAAAAAAAAACAAAAAAGCTCTAATTGTGGGTTTTTTGTTTTTTGATTCTTTTTTTGTTTGTTTCCATGTTTTCCCTTTTAAATTTGCAACAAAATAATACACTCAAATAAAAAATAAAATCGTACCGAAGACTTTATAATAAAAAGAAAACAGTCCCCTACCCCACCCCTACTTTCTAAAGGAAACTAAATTTAACTTTTTGTTTTAGATCTAGTGATGATCTCCTTAAATCTAAATAATATTCTTATAATGCTGTGTCTTTTTGTCTATTTAAGGCATCATTCAATGACTCCCCAATACAAAAGAGTCAACATTTAGCTCCCATTATTTTGTCTCCTCTACATCTCCTTGGCATTAAAAGCTCTAGTTTTGCTTCTTTTGCATCAGATGTTTCTTCAACTAACTTCCTAAAAGCATTCATTCTTTTTTTCCTTTCTCACTTTCTCTTTCTCTAAACAAACATCTTCCAAGGTGCCACCAGAGATATTGTACTAATATCTTGGTTCCCAAATAGCAGTAGTTCTCAGTTTAGCTGCACATTGGAATCGTTGGGTTCCAGCACCAGAAATTCTGATTTAATTGGTTTGGGGTGCAACCTAGGAATATAAGCCCCTACGTACCTCTTTAGCCTGATCTACCACTCTCCCTTAAATACTCAAGACCACAGCCACACTGAAGTGCTCGGTGTTCCCTAAGCAAACCATGCCTGCAGTGCAGCGAATTACTTAATATGCCCCTTCTAGCCATAGTCTTTGTGACTCCCACCAAATGACTGGAAAGTACTATGCAAATGAGGTGCCTGTGGTCCACCAAGGGGATTGGATAGCTTGCTAATAATGTAAATAAAGAAGGTGCATGGCACCCTTGTAGGGGTGTGGGACCATGCAAATAAGGTGTATGGAACCCTAACGAGGAGATTGGTCAGTTTTGCCATCCTGCTAGGTTTAAAAGAGAGCCAATTCCAGAGTAGAGAGGGGACCTCACAACAACCAAGACAGAAAAGCCAGGAGTGCAGCGCATCCTTTGGGTCTGAAATTCCTGCACTGAGAACCTCCTAGATCCAGGAGACAGAAAGAGAGAGTGTAACACCGGAGATGGTGAGAGACAAGGAGAAGCAGTGGCAGAGAAATGGTGGCAGCAGAGGCAGCAGACCAACAGGAGACAGTGAAGTAGGCTTCCCAGCTCATGGAGTGAGAAAGCTGATCGCCTTCAGGCAGGAGGCTTCCTGGCAGAGTGGGGTGCTTCCAGGTACTTCTTGGAAGAGCTAAAAGGGCTTTGTAACACTTACCCAAGCAGGGCAGAGGCCGAGGGGCCAGGGAGAGGCGTGTCTGCAGGCACAGCTGAGAAGAGGCTGTCCCGATCAAAGAAGTGTATCCTCAGCATTCCTGAACCTGAACTGTAACCTGTTACTTCTCTAATAAACCCCATAATCATGAGTATTGTCTGTGAGTTCTGTGTGGTCATTGCAACAAATTATCGAACTCAGCAAAGAAGTAGAGAGTACCGTGGGCAGGACAGTTGATGTCAGAATTGGTAAAAAAAAAAAAAAGTTGGAGATTAGAAGGCATGTCTGACCTCTGCCTCATAGGAATCAACCTTGGGCTGTTGATCTTGATTCTCCTTCCTCCTTGTGAAGTTAGAGGAGATCAGATGACGCCCCTACTACCACGTCATTTTTACAGCTCTTTTCCAAGACGCCATGCCTTTGCGAAGGTTGTTCCCACTTCCAGGAATTCTCTTACATATTTGGAAAACTCCCACACATACTTAAGATCCAGTGCAAAATCATCTCTTCCATAGGCCTTTCTCAACTCAGGACTGGCCACTGCTCTAAGAGCATGACTCAAAGAGCACACAATCATCCCAGCAAAACTGCTCTTAGTGGAGGCATCATGAAGAAGTATGAAAGGCACCAGAGTGGAATCCAGGGGAGTAGTAGAGATCACCCTGGATGAGGTGTTAACCTTAGGCAGTCACTTTCTACCCTGGTCCACAGTCCTGGATCTGTCTACCTCCCATTTGAAGGCCTGGAACCTTTTTATATCTTCAGATTAGAGGCCATCACTAGTATCAGAGAGCTTAAGTGAGATGGAAGGTTAAACCTAGAGGGCAGCATCTTTCTCAGAAGCATCTCACCTGAGCCCTTCCACTGCCCCAGGATTGGAGACTGAATTCTGATAACAGTTATTTTCACATTAAAAGCAGCAATGTCCAGACTGAGCAGGGCAGAACAAACTTGTAAGGTTTAGGGGATTCTTTTTCCCTCCCTCACACTTCCCACTCAAGCTCAGGAACGCATCAGAGGAACCAGGGTCAGTACTCTCCCTCAGTCCTGGCGTGAGTAAGGACTCTAGAAAGGAGAGATACCCATTATCACCTCCAGCATGAACACCAGAGAAAAAGGACTGCCTGCCTCCTGCATGGGGCTGGACAGTGTGTTAACTTCAACCTGAGACACCAGGGACTCTCTAACTTGTGGCTAGAAGCTCCACTTACTCAGAACTTTTGGGGGTTTTAATGAGGACTCCAAGCTCTTTCCTGCCTCATTGGCCAATGGACCCTCAGGGGTCTTCTCTTCATAACCTGAGCTTGCTTCTACCTCTGATCTTCAAACTACTCTGCATTTACTGAGATGGGATCTGTGTTAAAAATGACTATGACTCATGCTCGTGGTCATCTCCCAAATCCCTACATAAAACAGATGTCTGGCACAGCTTCTTTGCTTAGTAAATAGGTGATGGAAGTATGATGCACGGTAGGCCACCCAACCTGAGGCATTCCAAGGGGAATTCTGTTTCGGAGTCCCTGACAAAGACAGACTCCAAAATGACAAAAACATGGTCAAATTCCCTTACCCTCAGCTACATCCTGGGAATAATCCCAAGCACATATTCTTCCCAAACACATATTCACTCCCAAACACATAGTCTTCTTACCAGGGACAGGGTCACAAATGATGATAACTTTACGTTCATGTAAAGTGTTCTGACTCCCTGGATCACTCTTGGTTTTCTTTTTAACCTCCTGAAACCCACATGAGGAGGAACTGAATTAGGACTTTTGGAAATGAAGAGAACTTTTCAAAAAGAGTTTTAAAAAAAAAAAACACAACATCTACAACCAAACAGGGGCAGTCCCTCTAGAAACCTGGGAGAATCCCACTTCTCGTACATCCCTGACCATTCCAGGCTGTAACTAGTTCTCCCAGTCTCAGCAAGTCCCTGGGGTTTTGTCACTGCCACTTTACCTGTATCTTAGTGGGTATTTTCACCTTCTTCTTCTTCTGCTGCTGCTGCTTCCTGGGACCTGGCAACCACAGAGCCAGCTCAGTCCTTCTTCTGACTGCTCCCACCCTCCCCCGTGGCTGCTTGCTGTGCTCCACTCCACAACCACAAAGGTACTCTCTCCCTCTGGTCAAGACCAAGCCAGGGGAGCTGTTTCTTGTATGACTGTGACCACAAACCCAACTGAACTGGGACCAAGGGAAGTGTGGGAAATGTGGGCTAAGCAGGGCCAGTACCTGGAGATCTGGCAACCTCAGAAAATCTAGCTTTTGTCATCAGGTTATAATGTAATTTCCTCAGATGCTCAGGATATCTCAGCCCTGGTCTCTGTAGAAAAAGAAAAAGAAGAAAAGCGCTCTAGTGTAGGTCTTTCCTTTTTCCCAAACATATTTCCCAAACGCAGTTATTCACCTATTCAACAAGCACATTTTGAGAATCCAGTGTTATGCAGCATTGTACCAGGGGCTGTGGAAAGAGTGCAAAGGTGTGGAGGAAGACATGCAAAAGAAATAGAGAACAGTGCCTTCCTCAAACCCTTCCCCATACATTTGGGTCCAGAGTGGAAAGACAGAAGAGAAAGAAGGAACGGAAAGTCAACACTTCCAACCTTAAGGAGAGATGAGCTTGGATTTTCATGCAGACATCTTCCTCTGAGACTTCCTAGCTCTTACCTGCAGGGTGAGGCGGTATACAGATAGAAACATCTTAGAAGAAATTGCACTATCAGGTCGGCTCTTTTCCAGGGGACGGTTCTTCTTCATCATGGCCAATTCTATCTTCATATTTGCAGAAGGTATGGTTTTCCCTTCATCTGTCAAAAGGCTGAAAGGGACAGAGATAGCCAGCTCAGAAATAGTTAGCAATAGCTCTTCTGGGAGAGTATGGCTTAGGAGAAAGATAAAAAGGACTCAAAATTTGAAGAAATTTCCACACTGGTTATGAAAAGACCTGTACCAACAGGTACTCATTCAGTAACTCCTTTGAAATGCACTTATAAAATCATACCTGTATTTACTGAGTGTTTACTATATGTCAGACCCATGTGCTTTATACCACTGAATCTTTACAACACCCTGACAGGCAGGTATTATCCTAACTTTAAAAATGAGGAAAATAAGGCTTAAAGAAGCTAAGTCAATTACCAAAACTCATAAAGCCAGTAAATTTCAAGACAAAATTTAAGACTGTCTCATTTCAAACCACATATACTATTCTATTTCCCACTTACCCATAACTCATCTATAAAGAGAGGAGTGTAGTAGTGCCTGCCTCCTCTGTTGTTGATGGCGTAGTGGTTAAGAGCTCAGTTGCTAACCAAAAGGTTGGCAGTTCAAATCCACCAGCTGCTCCTTGGAAACCCTATCGGGCAGTTCTACTCTGTCTTATAGACTTGTTATGAGTCGGAACCGACTCGACGGCACCTAACAACAACAAAAACAATGACAGAGTAAAACTGCCCCATAGGGTATCCTAGGCTGTAATCTTTTTTTTTCTTATACGCCATTTTTTTAATTGTACTTTAGATGAAGGTTTACAAAGCAAATTAAACAATTAATACACATATTGTTTTGTGACATTGGTTGCCAACCCCACAACATGTCAACATTCTCCTCATCTCGACCTTGGGTTCCCAGTTACCAGGTTTCCTGTTCCCTCCTGCCTTCTAGTCCTTGCCCCTGGGCTGGTGTGCCCCTTTACTCTCGTTTTGTTTTATGGGCCTATCTAATCTTTGGCTGACGGGTGAACCTCAGGAGTGACTTCAGTACTGAGGTAAAGGGTGTCCAGGGGCTATACTCTCAGGGTTTCTCCAGTCTCTGTCAGACCAGTAAGTCTGGTCTTTTTTCCTAGGCTGTAATCTTTATGGGAGCAGACCACCAGGTCTTTTCCTCCGTGGAGTGGCTGGGTAGGTTCAAACCACCGACCTTTCGGTTAGCAGCCGAGTACTTAACCATCAAGGTTTAAATGAGAGCACACACGTAATGTGCTTAGCACAGGAGCTAGCAGAGGGCAAGTGCTTGACAGATGTGATGGTTATTACTGTCATCACTACATGCTGGCAAGTCGGAGAACTCAAGAAACAAGTAGGATGATGGTTTTCTCCCCTCCCTACTCAGAAAGAGCACACTGCTTAGACCCTTCTCAGCTTCAAAGAAAAAGCAGGTGGTCTGGATCTCCTGCAGGACTTACGTGATACTTACTCCTTCAGTAGATCCTTAGGCAACATGTCGATCTGGTCGCAGGAAAGCATGGAGTCTGGGCTTAACTGCTCAAACAACTGCACTGGGGAGGGGGGAGGCACAAGCACCTCTTGCCATCCTAACTGTGTTCCCATGCCCTGCTTTTCCAAGGAACCCAGAGCTGACTTGTTTTCCTGGAAGAGAAACAGTGGAAAGAACTCTCTGAAGCACTCTCTGCAAGCCCATATCTTCCCATCAACACTTTAGCCTTCCAACAACCCTGCCATATTATACTCTTTGTTTCCAGACTCACTCCAACAATCCCTGCCCTCTGCACCGTGAGGGCTACCACATTTTTCCCTCTGATATCCCAACCTTGTTGTTATCTTCAGATTATATGGGAACTGTATATCTTTTTCTCCAGAAAGGTTATTCATTCATTCACTCAAAAAATTGAACAAATATTTACTGTGCCTACTATGTGCCAGGCACAGGTCAAGGTCTGGGGATTCAGCAATGAATGAAATAGAACAAAACACAACTCTCATGAACTTAGTAATCTTACGGGGCTTTAACTTATCCAAGGCTACATTTACTCAATAAGTGGTGGAATTAGAATTAGAACCTCAGGTCTTATAACTAACTCTTGGTCCATTGAAATTCTGTTCTGTCACCCTGGGTATTAGCTTTTAATTGAACAGAAATTTCTTGGAATACCCAAGCATTCCTCCAATTGTCTCTTCAAGGCACTCTACCTCCCTACAGGGAAAAGGGGACTCTGAATAGAAAATGGTTTGGTAATTGTTCCTAAAAAGGGATTTTCTTCTTCAGATTTTGCTCATTTAGGGAAAGAACGGAGAGAGGGAGAGGCCTGACAGGAAAATAAAAATAAACCCTACAGGGTAATATCATAAAGGTATGGCCAAAACATAGAACTCACCACTGGAGAGTTCTTTCTTTTCTCCCTCCCATCCTGGCTGGTAACATCAGGCTTCTTCTCAGCTGGGCTTGAAATAAAAATAAATACAACTTATCCCCAGACATTTTAAACAGAAGCGCCAAGAATATCTGTGAGCAATGGTCACAAACGTTTCTCTTTCTCTAGTCAGCACGCAAGGATGGCTGATTGGGAGACCAGCAGTACCTGCTGCCCAAAGGCTGCTAAAAACAAGCCACTCACCCTCAACCTAAACTAAGTTTCCCACTATTCTCTCATATAATCAGTTATTTACTTCCATAGCATTAATCCAAATTCAAATTATATACTTAGGTGTAGTTATGTTTGTAATGTCTGACTCCCCTATAAGGTCCAGGAGGGCAGGACCAAGTCTATTTTGTTCTCCACCAATTCTTCACTGATTAACACAGAGGAGGTGCTCAAGAAGTACTGGAGTATTTTTTGCTCTCATCTCTTCCTCTTCTTTCCTGCCTGGTACATGGATATGATGGTTGGAGCTTTAGCAGCCAACTTGGACCTTAAAAGCATCTTAGACCCATAAAGCATCTTAGAATATGGAAGCCTTGGGCGAAGGATGATGGCCCAGAAAGCTAGAAGCAGTCTCAGTCTCTGACTACCTCATGAAACTGACATACAAGCCAAAGTCCATCTACCTCTGGGCTTCTTTTACATGAAGGAAATAAACCCTTAGGGTTTTCTGTTTGTTTATGCCGTATATATATATATATATATATCAAAAAAATGCACATATAAAGAAGTATTCACAGGATCATTAAAAAAAAGAATGAAGAGAAATTCTTAACTTTCAGCATCTCTAAGCAATCACTTAACAAGAACCTGAAAGCCTCAGTGGTCACAAAAGATTAACCAAACACTTTCTTCTAATGGTTGTGAATATTAGCAAGTCTTTAGGACTTCACCTAAAGACCTCTGTTGTAATGTTCTGCTTTGTTCACAAGCCCTATATGCTAGGCACTTTGTACAACTGTAGTAGGCTTTGGGATTGAGATGACAGACTCATGTGCTTCACTGAGAACTTTTTCACTAGTTGCTGATAACTAATAAAAAACGCTAACAGAAAGCATATATTTCTTAATAAAATCTCACAAATACCTTGGCCTTATGTTGTGTGCTACTTACTGCCATGTAGAATTTGCCATAGAGAAGTCTCATAGAATCTCAAAGTGCATTAAAATAGAATTCCAGTAGGCAAATCCATAGAGACAGAAAGTAGATCAATGGGTTGCGGGTAGGGGCATCATGGATTGAATTATGTCCCCCCAAAATGTGTGTATCAATTTTGCTAGCCACAATTCCCAGTATTGTGTGGTTGCCCTCCATTTTGTGATTGTAATTTTATGTTAAAGAGAATTAGGGCGGGATTGTATAACACCCTTACTAAGGTCACATCCCTGATCCAATGTAAAGGGAGTTTCCCTAGGGTGTGGCCTGCACCACCTTTTATCTTACAAGAGATAAAAGGAAAGGGAAGCAAGCAGAGAATTGGGGACCTCATACTACCAAGAAAGCAGTGCCAGAGCAGAGCGCATCCTTCAGACCCGGGGTCTCTGCACAGAGAAGCTCCTTGTCTGGGGGAAGATTGATGAGAAGGCCGACAGAGAGACAAAGCCTGCCCCTGGAGCTGACACCCTGAATTTGGACTTCTAGCCTACTAAAATGTGAGAAAATAAATTTCTCTTTGTTAAAGCCATCCACTTGTGGTATTTCTGTTATAGCAGCACTAGATGAGCAAGACGGGGGAATGGGGAGTAACTGCTAAGGGATATAGGATTTCTTTTGTGGGTAATGAAAGTGTTCTAAAATTAATTGTGGTAATTGTTACACATACATGTGAATATACTAAAAACCACTGACTTGTGCACTTTAAGTGAATGAATTGTATAGTATGTGAATTACATCTCAATAAAGCTGTTATTTAAAAAAGAGTATTACTCAGCCATAAAGAGAAATGAAGTCCTGATACATGCTACAACATGGATGAACCTTGAAAATGTTCATGCTGAGTGAAATAAGTCAGTTACAAAAGAACAAATATTGTATGATTGTACTTATATAAAATAGGGAAATGTATAGACACCAAAGCTTATTAGTGGTTACCAGAGGTGAGAGGAAGGAGGAAAGGGGCAGTCATTGCTTAGGGACCACTGAGTTTCTGTTAATGGCATTGGAACTGGTGGAATAATTTGGAAAAGGGTATTGGTAATGGTTACACAACATGATAAATATAATCAATGTCACCGAATTGTACATGTAAAAATAGTTGAATTGGAAAATGCTGTTATATGTTTTTTTACCACAATAAATTAAAAAAAAAAAAAGAATTCCAGTGTAGCCAGAAACAGATGCAAGAGATCTTGGCTGCCTTCTTTGCGGCTTCCTGCTAGTGCAATGAGGTAGCTAAAAGAGAGATCACAAAAAGAAGGCCCACAGAGGAAATGCTTAGGGATTTGTAGAATATAAGAGTTGAAGGCCCCTGAGTTTCTAGACATGATAATCACCTTCTCCTATGCTTCTCTGTTTCTTCTGGGATCCAGATTACAGCCATATTTCTAACATCTTGAGGGCAGGGAAGCAATGTCTCATTCAAATTCAGCACTGAAACCTAAGACAGAGATATAAAACTTATGTATGGCTTAAAGGTTCCAGGCTCCTGATGGTATTCAATACCAGACTAAGGACTGAATTATCATGCTAATTAATAAGAAAAATACAGTGGTTCGGAAGATGGTAACAAGACAGTTCCCATCCTCAAAAAGTCTTCATAATATTCTCCCAAGGAATCAGACTATTTTGGCAAATTATCAGTAGAGGTCTCTCTGCAAACTTTTGTAAGTAAATAATCTCCCCCTCCCTCCCTGTAACATTAGGATGGCGTTTAGAAACCACCATCCCCATCCCATTTACAGGTGCCTCGGGCTCACCACGGGAACTCTACTCATTCTGCCCTCCACACTCTGAAGACTTATATCCCCTGCAAATAACACAATTGGCAGAGCAGGGAGAGAACTGTTAGAGATACAAGCAGTTTTCTATATTTGTAGACAGTCTGCAAAAACAGAAAACTGCTTCTGTTTTATATACATATAAAATTCAGGAACCCCCAAACTTGTGGTTCTTGTCTGAAGTCTTGAACACACTTGGCAATCTGGAGGTCCGCCCTTAATCTGTGAAATGTGACCTAACTCCCAGCAGCTAGGGTTTGAAGAACTTATTTTGTTAAGGTATCTCACAAAAAAAAAAAAAACCATTGCCATCTAGTCGATTCCGACTCATAGCGATCCTATAGGCGGGAGAAAAAGGGCATCCAGTAGGACTGTAAAGAGCAGTAGATCTCTTTTGCTAGAGATAAGTAGGAGAGTTTTTCTTCCTAAAGTCCTAATTTAGGTCTACCGCTAACTAGCTGTGTGCTTTAGCAAATCACTTCCCATCTGGACCTCAGCTTCCTCAACTGTAAGATGAATGAGATGGACCAGAGTAATATTCTTCATGCTGCAATTGCAACTTATTCATGGGTCATTAAATCTAATTTGGTGACTTGCAGCCCATACTGTTTAAAAATTAAATAGAATAGTACAGTAATATCTGAGTGTATCATCCATAGTTAGGGTAAGGATTGTTTTATGAATATTTTTGTTGTAAACTGTATTTCTCATCTTGAGTAATAGCTAAAAAAGTTTGAGAGTCATCAGACTAGACGATCTGAAGGTCCATTTTAGGTCTGGCATTCTAGAATTCTAACTTCCCTTTATTATGAAATGGCAGTGTTTACTCGGCAGCTGAACATGCTGTATGCAGGACAGAGACAGAAAATGATTACCCATGCCAGACTTCCACAAATCAATCCCACCTATGCCTGGGATTTCTGGAGACAGTATAGCATGTAAAGCCACTAGCAGAGAGCCTAGCATATAGTAAAAAAACCAAACCCACTGCCATCGAGTCGATTCCAACTCATAGTGACCTATAGGACAGAACAGAACTGCCCCACAGGGTTTCCAGGGAGCAGTTGGTGGATTCGAACTGCTGACCTTTCAGTTAGCAACCAAGCTCTTAACCACTGCCCCACTGGGCTCCAGCATATAGTAAGGGCCCAATAAAAGACAGTTACTGTTATCATCATCATGATCATGATCATTATTCAGATTATAGTCATCCAGAGGAGAATGCAAAATAAAAGATTTTATTTTCACTAGTAAAGAGAAAATGTTGAGGAAGTACTTTTTTTTAACCTGTGACTTACTTTGGGAGGTCTATTAGTACTGCTGATCAGAACTTTATCAGGTAAATCCTTCATACTTCTGAGTCCTAAAAAATGAGTTTCCCAAAATGAAAAAGAGCTACAAAAGACTTATTGAGATAAGGTTAGTGCTATGAGAAAAACGCTTCTAGTTATCTATAGAAAGCCTTGGGCTTAATAGTTTCCAAATAAAAGTACAGTCTCACCATCTTTTGGTTTGTTTGTTTATCCTGGAACAGCTAGAGAGACACTGCGTATTACAAACACTCCAGAACTATTTATAGCATCAGAACTGAATTCATAGCCTATGCCTCTCTCTCTAGCCAGAGGTGGTTCCATCACCATCAATAAAAGTTTATTAAGTATCTTTGACATAGATGTTCAAAAACATATTGAATGAGTGAATACATGAATGAATAATACAAAAAGATATAAAGATTCAACTCCTTAGCCTGGTTTATAAAGTCCTTTGTCATGCAGTTCCCCGATTTCTATTCCAGTTCCCCAGCCTCATCCCTGACCACTCTCCCATTCCTACTCTATGTTCTAGACACACTGTACTACTTTCCTGATACTTGAAGAGTTTCTTCTTGCCTCCAGGCCTTTGCACAAGCTGTTCCTATAGTCTGGAATTCTCTTCCTGCCACACCTCCTACCTGTAACCTCCACTTCACTTGGCTGCTCAAACTTCAGGTCTAGGCACAGATGCCACTTCTACAGAAAAGAGTGCCTGGGATAGGATCATACCTGTATGCTTCCACACACTCAGGGCACACTCCTCTCATACCACTCATCACACTGACTGGTCCCTGTCCACTTAGTTCTCTGACTCCCTTAGACTAAAAGCCCCTTTATCTTGTTTACTGTTATATACCCAGCGTCCAGCATAGTGGCCCCTACTAAGATATATTTGTAAATTGAATGAGTGACTAAATGAATGAAGCCATGTCCTCTGTCTTCAAAGGGCTTAATATTCAGTTGGGCAAGTAGGATGTAGGCATAAAAACATCAAAAGCATGCCAGGGACAATAAATGCTGGAGTGGTTTAGAAGAGAGAGCACCCAGGACTTGTGGCAAATGATGAAACTTAAGCTTCACAGAGGAAGAAGACATTCATTCAGCAAATACTTCCTGAGCTCCCACTACACACCATGCACTATTAAAGGCACAGGAGACAGAGCAGCGAACAAGAGAGACATGGTCCATGTCTCATGGAACTTACATTCTTACATTACAAATCAACAAAATCATTTCAGATCATAAGAATTGAAGAAAAAAAAATATTAAATGCTAGTGAGTGCAGGGAAAGTTTAAGTCACGGTGGTCAAGAAAGGTCTCTGATACCACCAATGACCGCCCTGACAGGGAACACGAGAGAGAGGCCCTGACGGAACAGGAGAAAACTGGGGTGCAGAACTCAAATTCTAGTAAAAAGACCAAACTTAATGGTCTGACTGAGACTGGAGGAACCCCAGCAGACATGGCCCCTGGACTTTCTGTTAACCTAGAACTAAAGTCATTTTTGAAGCCAACTCTTCAGGCAAAGAATAGACTGGACTAAAAGACGTAAAATGATACTCGTGAAGAGTGTGCTTCTTAGTTCAAGTAGATACATGAGACCAAATGGGCAGCTCCTGTCCAGAGGTGAGATGAGAAGGCAGAAAGTGATAGAAGCTGGTTGAATGGACATGGGAAATCTGAGGTGGAAACGAGGAATGTGCGGTCACGTTATAGGGATAGCAACTAGGGTGACATAACAATGTGTGTATGAATTTTTGTATGAGAACTTAACTTGAGCTGTAAACTTTCACCTAAAGTACAATCAAAAAAAAAGAGAAAGGTCTCTGAGAAAGCAACCTTTAAACCTGAATAACAAGAAGGATCTAGCCATGCAAGATTCTAAGGCAGTATTTCTCAACCATGGGCAATTTTGCCCCCAGGAGACATTTGGCAATATCTAAAGGCATTTTTATTTGTCACAATGAGGGGTGGGGTGCTACTGGCATCCAATGGGTACAGCCCAGGGATGCTGCTAAACTTCCTGCAATACACAGGACAGCCCCCTGCCCCCACAAAAGCAAAGAATTATCTGGCCCAAAATGTCAAGTGCCAGGTTGAGAAATCCTGATTTAGGGAGAAAGTATTCCACTCAGAGGAAACAGCAGGTACATAAGCCTTGGGATGGGAAGTGTGGAGTATCTGAGGAATAGAAAGGGCAATATGGCTGGCACCTAGTGAATAAGGACGGGAGGAACGTGAGATGAGGTCTGTGAGGAAGGCAGGCTCTCATGGCGCCTTATAGACCATGACAGAGAATTAGTGAAACAGAGGAGTGAAGAGAGAGGGCTTTTAAGGTAGAGGAAATTGCATGAGTAAAGTGTCAGAGACAGAAAAGCACAAGAAAAAGACAGTTTAGCTCAGCAGTAAAGGTGGTATCAGAGAAGAGAGGAGCCAGATTAGTAAAGAGGCTACATCTCCAAAATAGAGAAACTTGGCTCTATTATTCTGTAGTAAATGAAGTACTGATGATGGGCTTCTTTTGAGCAAAGAGATGATATGAGCAATATTTCTGGAAGGTTAATCTGTTGGTAGTATGTAAGATTTAGAGGGAAAAAGGCAGGAAGACCAGCTTGGAAGACACTGCAAAAACTCACTCATGAGGTAATGAGGGACTAGTTTAGGATAGAGAGGTAAGATCAGAAACCAGAGATGCTGAAGGACGAAGGCATAGAAACTAGGAGCTAACTGGATGAAGCAGCTCCCTCTTGCACACCATGGGTATGGCAGGGGTGGAAGTGTGTGCCTGTGCATCTACGTGAAGCACATAACAGGTCCTGACTGGGAAACACAGCTGCTTTCCAGGGGTTCAAGTCCTAGAGAACCTGAAAGTAATCCTACCTTCTCCTATACTGTCTTTCAAAACCCGTTGCCATCGATACCGACTCATAGCCACCCTATAGGACAGAGTAGAATTGCCCCATAGGGTTTCCAAGGCTGTAATCTTTACAGAAGCAGACTACCACATCTTTCTCCCATGGAACAGCTGGTGGGTTTGAATCACCGACCTTTTGGTTAGCAGCCAAGCACTTAACCACTGTGCCAGCAGGGCTTCTTATACTGTCTTTAGCCTAACAGAAATCATCAAGGGCTGCTTGAACGATCAGGAGAAAAGAAACCACTCCAAGGGCCACAACCAGTGCTTTGATTCCAGGCAACAGAGTCTCAGATTTTAAAAGCCTAAATTTTCCACAGATACCTGTCCCTTATCTTCCTATATCAACAAGCACTAATTAGGTGCCTAGACTTTGTGGGAGACTTAAAAAAAAAAAAAAGTCATTCCTTCTGCCTTCAGGAGCTTACAAACAGTTTCATATATAAAATTAAAAGATAAGACAGTATGTGGAAGCAGTTTTCTAATGACCTACAGAAACTGATGAGATACCCCCAAATTAACCAACTCCTGGAACACAGCAGGAATGCTTCCTTTTGGTTTCCCACTCCCTATTTACCACTTCTTTAACTGAATTAGTGTTTTCTTTTTAACTCAGAATTCTCAAAGTCTCCTGTATGGGTAAGGAAAGTCACAATCCAGAATTCTGAGATAGTAAGCTCTTAAAAGAAAATTCAAAGGGCGCCTGGTGGCTCAGTGGTTAAGCATCTGGCTGCTAACCAAAAGGCCAGCAGTTTGAATCCACCAGCCACTCCTTGGAAACCCTACGGGGCAATTCTACTCTATCCTATAGGGTCGCTATAAGTTGGATGATGAATGATAATTTACCTGCCTTGAAATTTGGAGTTAAAGTTTGAATCCTGAGACAATAAAGAGTGAGCCTTAGTGAAGGTAAATCCTGATAAACGACGCTGAGCAAGTCTCTTGGGCCGGAGCGAGGAATCCGAGATGTTTACAATAGTAAGCACTGGGAGTTTATCTGAGAAAAGAGACCAGAAGAAAATATGTAACATGTCACCTGGAGAAGGAGGTCAAACAGAAATAATTCAAGGACCTTGTAAAGAAGGAGACAGAGGCTGGCTAATTCACCTTCAGTATCCAGGGGAGTTTTGCAGGGTGAACCCAGCATTCGAGGGTGGCCCCTCTCAATCCTGCGAATAGCTGCCCAGCATTGCGGATGCTGACAAACAGCAGAGTCGCAAGTGGTTTCATCCCACTGGTTCTCATCTGGCAAGTCCATAGCCAAATGGTTTAGGACAAAAGCCAACCCTGCAGCTTTCTAGCCTTCTGGAGAAACAACCATCACATAATTAGAGTGCATTATACATTAGCCATGCAGTCGAGATCTTAATTTGGACTCAAAGTATAAAGCATTTCTATTGAGCTCATATAGATAAATGGTGGTCATAGAATAACTGGAGCCCTGGTGGTGCAGCGGTTAACAGTTTGGCTGCTAACCAAAAGGTCAGCAGTTCGAATTCACCAGGTGCTCCTTGGAAACCCTACGGGGCAGTTCTACTCTGTCCTATAGGGTCACTATGAGTCGAATTTGATGACAATGGGGTTTTTTAAGTATGGGAGTGGAACTGTTCTGGGCACAGAGAACAATAATGAACAAGATAAAGTCCCTGTTCTAAAGAGCTTATAATTGAGAACAGATAACAAACTATTGCCCTGGGATTACACCTGGTCTGTGACTTGTTTTGTTTAGCCTGCACTTTGAGAAAATATTTAAGAATTGGGATTGTCCATAATGTCCAGATTTCTGGCTCATCTTAAAAATCAAAGTATCTGACAATACTGGGCCCAATTCCAACACGACGGGAATTGTCTGGAGCTGATTAGCTTCTGATACCTTTAAACCAGGTCAGCTCTACCCAAGTGCTCCCCACCAGACCCTAGAGCCTCCAACTGAAGCAGTTTCAGTTGCCATTTATCATCACATTTGCTCTGCTGTTCTTCTCTTAGTAGGGAAATATTCCTCTGTACCCACGTCTTCATTAAAAGCAGGCAAAGGGTGGCTTAAGAGGCCCACATGCCAAGAAAAAATAAGTAGAAGTGAAGACAATTTCTATGCGTTTAATATGAAAATAATACAAATTAAAACACCACTACAAAACTATGGTAATGTTTCTGATTGGGAAAGATGTAACGTGAGCAATTTAATGAACTAAAAAGTAAATACAATTTTAAGAGTTTGTTTTCAATGTGACCCTGAGTCAACCGACTGCTTCCGGTACTTTATCTGCCCAAACAGAATTGAGCCCCGAGGTCTAGCCACACCCATCTCAATCCCGCCAGCATTACCGCTGCGCCGGCAAACTAGTTCGCAATGAATAAACTCTAAATACGAGCTAGTATTAGTATGAGCATTACAAAGCTGGCAGGAGCGAAAAAATTAGGGAAGAACATCAGCTCCGATGGAGTTGGAATAACATTGCCCGCTTCGTTTCGAGAAAGAGAAGGAGAAACTGGAATCCGAAAGCCGCGATTCCGCGGAACCAAAGCAGATTTCAAATCGCTAAGAATCCAACAAAGCCGAGTGGGATAAGGCTGCTCCTTGCGGAGCCTCGAAGTCAGCACGCCCCTCCCCGCCGGCTCTGTTTACACCTCCGTCTACCCCAACAGCTTCCAGGCCCGGCCGTCGCCAAGCAGCGGCACGGAGCACTGAGGTAAACGGATGGAATCCCCAGTGAGCCATACTTAATTTGCTGCAAAAGCCACAAACGCGTTGGTGGCGCGAAGCCAAGAAGTATGGATGGGGCGGGGCGCTCCAGGGACCGTGGGGCCCGAAGGAGCGCCCCGAGGGCCAAAACCCCTGACGCGTGGAACGTTTGGAAGCAACGGTGCTCGGAGGCGGAGGCGGAGCTGGAGGCGGGGCTAGGGTGGGGCGATAATTTGCGCAGGGCACTGTGGGAGACAGTGTGGGCCGTGTGGAGCGGAACGGAAGCCTCGGTGGGTCAGACCACATCGACGCGGGAAGTCCGGACGCCGTAGCGTCTTGAAGAGGAGGCCCGCGGCAGAGGCGCTGGCCCCGGCAGCGGCGATGGCAGAAAGGCCAGAGGACCTAAATCTGCCCAACGCCGTCATCACCAGGATCATCAAGGAGGCGGTGAGCAGGCCAGGCTAGCGAGTGGGCTGGGGGAGGACGAGTGGGCGGGAGGGAAACAGGTCGCCAACTTTGCTCATCTCCGCTCCCCTCACAGCTCCCGGACGGCGTCAATATCTCCAAGGAGGCCCGGAGCGCCATCTCCCGCGCCGCGAGCGTCTTCGTGCTGTATGCCACGTCCTGGTGAGCGAGGCAAAGCTAGAGCTAAGCTAGGGTTGAACCATTCCGGAGGCTCCGAGAGACCCCTGGCTCGGAGTTTTTGGCCTGTAGCCCACAAATACCAACGATTGTGTGCTCACTCAATGGGGAGAGGTTCCCAGCTCTCATCCAGTTCTTACAGGGTCTGAAACAACAGAGTAACTTTGGGTTAGTCCTTTTGTACAGGTAAGAGAGGGACTTAGCCATATCACACACACAAAAAATAATGCATTTAAAGTGGTAGGCTTCTCCATCCCAACTCCGGGTGCTTCTTTTCTGCTCACTCCATACGCATCAAGAGGGGGTCTGACAGCCTGTAAAGACCCTTTCTCCTTCTTTTCCTCCTTCAGTGCCAACAACTTCGCAATGAAAGGGAAGCGCAAGACACTGAATGCTAGTGATGTGCTCTCGGCCATGGAAGAGATGGAGTTTCAGCGGTTCGTTACTCCACTGAAAGAGGCTCTGGAAGGTAACGACCCTTCCGTTTTCTCAGCCACATAGAAGATGGTCATCCTGTGTGACCTACTTACCTGGTCCTGAGGCTTTTTCAGCGTGGGTCCCTTAAAGTCCAGTAAGCCAGTACTGGGTGTGACTCGGAACCCATTCAGTTTACACCACCTCAGATCTGTTTTTGATGTGAGAAAGGTTGTTTTTCCTTTCGTGCCTCAGCTTTTCCAGCTATGATATGGAATTAGCTGCTGGAGTCTGGTCACTCTTCTAGCCCTGCCTCCTAACCCCTTCCTTCTTCCTTACAGCATACAGGCGGGAGCAGAAAGGCAAGAAGGAAGCTTCAGAGCAAAAGAAAAAGGACAAAGACAAAAAAACAGATTCAGAAGAACAAGACAAGAGCAGGGATGAGGACAATGATGAAGATGAAGAAAGGCTGGAAGAAGAAGAACAAAATGAGGAGGAGGAGGAGGTGGACAACTGAATAGGATGGGAAGACTGTGGCACCTTGGAAGGTGCACCACTCTGAAATGTGGTACATGTTTATGTGAAACTTCTCCCTGCTCGGCAGAGTAGTCTTAGGCAGAAGTGCCTGAGAAGATGGAAATAAAACTGACTAGAATTACCATCAAAACCATGGCTTCTTAGACTCAAAAGCATCTGGGTAGCAGAATCTTGTTTTGCTTAATCAGTCTGAAGGCTACAACTTTTTGATAAGAGGGATTCTGAACAACTAATTCAATCAGCCAATTTGATCTCTCTTGTTTAGTTATGTATATGGTTAGGCAGTTTTTGATCCCCAGTTCCTTCCTCCCCCTACCCCTCAAGAAAGTAGTAACTTACATCCTGCCTGCTGTGTTCCAGATCACAGTCAGTCAAGGCTCAGGAAAAATTCTGGGCTTCGATCATGATCAGCCTGCATTTGATTGTACGATATTTGGCAATACTAGCTTACTAAGAGTGATGAGAGCGATTTAGCTTTAGGAGACTACTAAAAAGCTGTGGGAGAAAAATGAAGTCTGTTGGCTCTTCACTTGACAGTGAGTCTTGACAAACACAGTTGACTTAGAACCCTTTTTTGTTGCATATAGGTATTCAACTTGTTGGGGTGGCTGCACTTTGGGCATATATGGTTTTAAATTAGTAGTGTCGAGTGTAATTAGCCAAGCAAGAGTGCCAGTGTTTTATTCTTACAAAACAGATGGTTTAGTCTTAGATGCACCTTACTGTCTGCCACTGTACAGCTTTAGGATTTATCTTCACCCCCCTGGAAGGTGTAAAATTCCAGGCTTTCTATTATAATCCATCTCCCAGACTCGTGACCCGCTTTTCATTCTTCAATTCGTGACAAGTTCCAAACTTCATAACCTCATGGCACAACTTTTTCCCTCTGCTTCTCTCTTCCTGTCTGTCTGCCTGCCTCTCTGCTTTCTGTTCCCACTTTTTCTTCCCTCCTTTTCTCACTTATGCCAATGCAGGAACATTGATAACCTGCTTCATATATAAAAGTGTAGGTTCCTCTGATTTCCTTAGTTATAATCTCATGCCTTTTAAAAATGATTCTGTAAAAGTCCTCTAAACGTTAAGGGAAATCTGATGGTGCTCAGGAATCTAATTCCCCCAAACCATCCGTCCCCTTTAACTGCTTCTAAAGTATCTCTGTTGGCCTTTCTTAGCCTTTTTCTTTTTCTTTTCAGTGCTTCAAGCACTTTTTGTCTCTAAGTTGAACACTTGGAGTTTGACAGTTAGTGAACTATAATTTGACACTGTTAACTTGTCAAATGAATACAGTAAAAAGTTTGTTGATAAGTGAGTAGAGAATCTTGAGAAAACTATAATGCGTTATATAAATAAAGAACATTCTTGTTAAAAGTGATGGCTTCTGTTTCATCCTGCTTGTTTATAGTGTGCTTTTGGAGAGGATGACCCACTGATTATGCTGCATTCAATTCATGGGGTATTAACTGAGCCAGACATCTGTAAATGCGAGGTCCTGCATCACCTTGGATGACCAGCAGATGCTGCTCGTTCATGGGCAAAGAAACTGTCCTTCAGCCACAGCAGAAACTCACTGACTGCTCTGCTGGGATCCTATACCATACTAGATTCTCAGCAACTCCAAACATTTACTGAGCCTCTGCTGTGTGCCAGCACTGTTTTAAGTGCCTGCAAGTATTAACTCTTAAATCCTATGAGGTAGCATTGCTCTTATCTCCATTTTAGAGACTGTGGACAAGTTTAGAAAGGTGAGGGAACCATCCCATGTTTACGTAGCATAAAAGGCAGAGCCGGGATTTAAAACCTTTGTGTGACTCCAGAAGGAGCCCTGGTGGTGCAGTGGTTAAATCTCTTGGCTGCTAACCAAAAGGTCTGCGGTTCTAACCCACCAGCCGCTCTTCAGGAGAAAGATTACAGCCTTGGAAACCCTATGGAGCAGTTCTTTTCTGTCCTATAGGGTCACTATGAGTCGGAACTGACTCGATGGAAGAGGTTTTTGGTTTCGGTGTGACTCCAGAGTCTTCCCCTAGCTGCAATGCTGTATTACCTCACTAATCTACATTTTTCAAACCTTAAATTTATAAAAAAAGTTTCATAAAGCTATATCCCCAACAGTCGTTAAGTCCAGTGGCTTTTTCCTTCTCCGCAGCAGAAACATCAATTCCCATGAGCACCACTCCAGCCTGTGCCCTCAAGTCCCATCTGGACTTGCTCAGCTTCCTTTGAGCTCAGTTTCTTGCTTCGTCTCTGCTTACGTTAACCTCCCCTGCCTTGCCAAGTGGATCTTCCTGGAATGTTGCTGTGTTATAATCCCTCCCTGCTTCCTACTGAATCAAATCCATACTTAAGTCTTATTCAAAGCCTGCATAAGGAGGGTTCACCTTGCTACTTATTTTAATCTGCTTCTACTCCTTAATATAAGGCTGTGTGCTCCAGTCAAGAACAAATGCCCAAACGAAATCTTTCCTTCCATTCAGCTTTAACTCATTATGCCCCATTACTCACAAAGTTTTTTTTTAATTCCCACTTCAACTTCCTCCCCACAGCGTATCTGCTAAGTCTTTCTCATTCTTCAAGGTCCATTTTAAGTCCCATTTCTTTTCAGTTTGAAGCAGTCTTAAAGACCCATGGCCCATGCTAATCTTCACAATTTACCACTCTCTTAATACATGATTTACCTATTGTTTCATGTGTTCAAACTGACTATCTCAGAAAAATAATGTTTTCTGAGAGTAGAGACTATGACTTAAAGAATTAAGAACTGAGTAGAATCTTTGAGGTCATCTACCAGTTTTTCCCAGCCATACCTGTATCATTCCTGTAGTGGTATCTGGATTTTGAAGGCTCCTTACTGGACTTAAGGCAATGTTTCTCATCTTTTTTAGCCATGCCCTTCTTGTCCAGAGGTTTTGATCTGGATTTAGAGAGTGAGGAGGTTACCTCCCTTCCCCATGCAGAATTATTTTTGTAGCCTAACCTATATATATACATATTTTTTGAAGAAATACTCTTTTTTTTAATTGTGCTTTAAGTGAAAGTTTACGGCTTGAATTAGTTTCTCATATAAAAATTTATACACACATTGTTATGTGACCCTAGTTGCTATCCCTATAATATGTCAGCATACTCCTTTCCACCCCAGATTTCCTGTGTCCATTCAACCATCTCCTGTCCCTTTTTGCCCTCTCATCTCGCCTCCGGACAGGAGCTGCCCACTTAGTCTCATGTATCTACTTGAGCTAAGAAGCACTCTCTTCACGAGTATTGTTTTATGTCTTATAGTCCAGTCTAATCTTTGTCTGAAGAGTTGGCTTTGGGAATGGCTTTAGTTCTGAGTTAACAGAGAGTCTGGGGGCCATGTCTTCCGAGGTTCCTCCAGTTTCAGTCAGACCATTAAGTCTGGTCTTTTTACAAGAATTTGAGTTCTGTACCCCAGTCTTCTGCTCCATCAGGGACTCTCTGTTGTGTTCCCTGTCAGGGCAGTCATTGGTGGTAGCCGGGCACCATCTAGTTCTTCTGGTCTCAGGCTGATGGAGTCTGTGGTTTAAGTGGCCCAGAAATACTGTTTTTAATATTTTGTGTTTTAGGTGAAAGTTTATACGGCAAATTAGATTCCCATTCAACAGTTCATACACAAATTGTTCTGTGACATTGGTTATAGTCCCCACAATGTGTCAGCACTCTCATTGTTTCCACTCCACCTGTCCTGTTTCCATACATCCAGTTTCCCTGCCCTTCCTTGCTTTCTCATCTTTGCTTTTGTGTAAATGTTGACCTTTTGGTCTAGTATAGTTGATTGTTTAAAGGAGCACGTTTACTAAGGTGTTATTGTTTATTTTATAGGTCAATCTATTATTTGGCTGAAAGATGATCTCTGGGAGTGGCCTCAGTTCCAGGTTAAAAGGGTGTCTTAGGGCGATAGTGCTGGGGGTTCCCCCAGCCTCTATCAGTCCAGTAAGTCTGGTCTTTTTTATGAATTTGAGTTTTCTACATTTTTCTCCCATTCTAACTGAGACCTTCTGTTGTGTCCCTGGTCAAAATGGTCAGTAGTGGTAGCCGGACACCATCTAGTTCTGGTCTCAGGCTAGAAGAGGCTGTGGTTCACATGGGCCATTAGTCCTGTGTACTAATTTCTTTTCTGAGTCTTTGGTTTCCTTCACTCTCCTCTGCTCCAGACAGGACGAGACCAATAGTTGTTTCATAGATGGCTGCTCACAAACTTTTAAGAACCCAGGCACTACTCACAAAACTAGGATGTAGAACATTATCTCTATGAACTAAGTTATGCCAGTTGACCTAGTTGATCCACAAACTAGCCTAGCCTATTTTTACAGATGGTGAAAATGAGGCTTGTCAGGGATAAATGATTTGTTCAAGATCTTACCGTTTATGAAAACAGATCCTGTTCCAGTGGCCTGCAGCCTTGCTTCTGTTTATTTCTATGCTTTTTACAGCATTTAGCACAATGCCATGTGCCTGGAAGGCACTCAAAATCTTTTTTTTACTTTTTATTGAAGTATATATCTACTAAAAAGTACAAGTAAGTGTTGAGCCTAATGAATTTTTACAAACTAAACAGCCATTATCCTATACCTAGACCAATAAGCAACATTACCAGCACCCTCATTACCAGGATACTCAGAAGTCCCCTCAGGCTCCGTTCCCATCACTCCCCACCTCTACAGCAATAACTTTTATCCTGACTTCCAACAGCACAAATTAATTTTGCCTGGTTTTGTACTTCATATATAAACAAAATCATACACTATGTACTGTTTTGTGTCTGACTTTTTGCTCAACATTATGTTTAAGATTTATCCATATTGTTGCTTTCACAATACTTTTCTATAAATAAAAGTGAAAGGTTAAAGTAAAATCACTAAAAAAAAAATTTGGGAACAGGTCTTTCAGTCAAGAGAAAGACATGGAAAAAACAGATTACACCAAACAGCAACATTTTAAGGTTTTCTACTCTTCTGTCTTTATTTTTAGTTATGAATTTACTGAGAGATGGAAAAGTGTCATGAGAGAAATCTTCTGCAGGCACCTAAACTGAAAAAGCAAAACAAGAATTACCCCTGTGAGCGGAAGGCCCATGTTTTTTCAGCAGGCGTTGCAGAGAAAGACCACTGTGTCATGGGGCAAGTTATCTAATCTCCCTGGAGATTGTTTCCCAGTCTGTGAAATGAGGATGGTAATATAGTCATTGTCAAGATTTAATCAGTGTAAAATTCATGCTACTGTCCCTGAGTCTTTAGTGCACAACTTCCTTTCCACCTCCTTCCTTGCTGGAACAGATCAAACTCATAGTTGGGAATTAAGCAGTATCATATTTCCCTAGCGTTAAATTCTTATACTCCTTTAATTTAAAAAATAAAGAGGTATAAAATAGATTTGGGGTACAGATTTTGAGAAATAAAAATCTGAAAATAAGTGTAATTCGACCCACTGCCATCCTTTACAGTTCAAAGTCAACTTTTTATAATCCCTGACACATCTTTCCAAAGCATTCCTTTGCTGGGTTGATGATCCTGGACCCCTACTCCACTTATCTAGTCTTACCCGTTACCCTAGACCCTAAAAGCCTCACGGATCCTTCCTGCCCCTGCTTATACTCTGTCCCACCTCCCCACGGCACTTCGGTCAGCTCTTTCATTGTACTCATTATATAGGCAGGTCTGATACCCCTATCAGACTTGGAGCTTTTCTAAAATGCCCCTATCTTTCACATCTCCTGGCCCATGGCACAGAATCGGTGCCGAGTGATTAAGCTGGAATAAATTTTCTCTGAAAACTTGGAAGGCAGTCTGATGCTGAACTCAACTGTAAAATGTTCAGTCCGCAAAAATGGATTTAGCTATTGTGTTGAGCATTATGGTGTTGTTTTAACGTCCTTGACATGCCATTATTCTTTCAACAACTGACAAGTGCCAAATATGCATCAGTCTGGGAACAGAAGGAATGTAAGTGAACCTCCAGCTGTAACCTCCTCCCAAGCCGGCTGACAACAAATTTCCCTTGAGCAGCAAGCCTGCGCCACCCCACGTGGGCTCCCTCGGGCCTTGCTCTGCCCAACCTCTGGCCAGGGAGCGGGGAGGGGTGGGCCCTCCAGCACTTCGGCACATGCGATTGGCCAAGGCTCGCGCCCATGTGCGTGGGCGGTACAAAGGCCGGAGCTGACCAGTCCTCCTGTAAAGTGCCCGCAGGGGCGTGGTCTTCACCCTAAAGGGGTCGGGCCGTGGGAGGAGGAAGCTGCTTCCGGGCGAGATGCCCCGCCCCCACGTTGGCCCCCGGAGGCTGGAGCTGGCGACTGAGGTGGCGGGAGCAGCGGCTCGGTTCCCTTAGGGAGGCAGGTGAGCATGGGGGAGCCGGACTGGACATGGCATACTTGGAGGGTGGCTCCAGGGCGAGGCGGAGGCTGTGGCACCAAGAACTCTGTGCAACCCAGATTGTGCTCTGCTCCTGAAGCGCAGTCGGTGCAGCTGGGGACGGAGTCCCTGTGGGACCCGTTTGGGCTCTTAAAGGTAGATGGTTCTGCTCCTGCCGGGGGTGGGGGCTCTGCGTGCCATAGCGCTTAGGGGCACGGGTCTGGGCTCCGCGTCTATTCTGTGGGGTGCACCCTCTCGGAGACCGCGGGAGCAGTCTCCGTCAGTGCCGAGCTCTGGTGCCTCCGAGGATGGGGGAGGGAGGTGGAAACCATAACAGACGCTTTGTGCTAGGCATGGAAGTGCCTTACATGCATTGGCCCTTTCAGTCCTTACAGTAACCTATTGAGGTCAGTTCAAGTCCCCATTTACCAAATGAGGAAACTGAGGTCACACAGCTGGAAACTGACAGAACCAGGATGTGAACCCACTTCTGTTAGACTCCAAAGCCCACACGTGCTGCCCCTCCTGTAGCTAAGTCCAGAGTTGCAGTTCTACCTCTCCCTCCCCTACCCCCACCCATCATTCCTTTGAGTGCCTGACTAGCCCAGCTCTGCTGGTAAACAGTTTTGAGATCCGTCCTTAAAGTATCAAGGGAGTAATGGTGGACGTTCAAGACTGGGTGGCTGGAGACCTGAATTCTAGCCCCAGATCTGCCATTGACCTGCTGCCTGATTTTTTTTTTTTAATTAATTATTTGTGGTACAGATATATATAACAAAACAATTGCCATTTCAACATTTTTACATGTACAATTCAGCGACATTAATTGCATTCATCATGTTGTGCAACCATCCCCACTGGTTAGTGATCTTGGGCCAGTGTCTACCCTTCTCTGAGCCTAGTTTCACCATCATTTCAATGAGGGACTTGTAATCAACAAGCTTTAAGGAGCCTCTTAGGCAAGACGTTCTAGGAGTCTGTGGAAATGGTAAATTATCCTGGCTCCAAATGGCTAAGACCAGAGAGGGTTGGGCTCAGCAAGGACTGGGTCTTACTCTTCTCTTTAATCCCTGTATCCAACACTGTAGCAGGCCCAGAGTAGGTATTCAGGAAATGCAGGTTGAATAAATAGGCAGCCAGTCAGTCTGTCCGTTTTCATAACTGCCTGACAGTTGCTATCCTGGGCCCTTCTGGAGCTTTGGATTTCTCAGCACTGGTCACCCTTCTACCTAGCTGGCCCTCCTGACTGCCTCCTCCTCTGCCAGTGGCAGAGCCTGCCAAAGCTGGCAGCGGCTCCCAACCCTCGGTGCCAAGACCACAGCCTCTGGAATCCTTAGCAGAGCAAAACACGGGGATTCAAGCCCTGCAGCTCTTTCTCAGCCCCTCCTAGAGGCAACTGTCAGGGTGCAGTTTAGGCTACCCTCAGGTTGGGGATGTTGCTTTCTAAGTAAGGACATAAGCTTAACAACCAATCTGAAAAGCTACTTATCCTTCAGTGTCCCCTCTTCCATGAAGCTATCCTTGACTCTCAGAGAAACAGGTTCCTCCCCTAGCACCTGGTCCATCCTTCTACTCTAGTATCCAAGTGGTGATTGTTGCTCCTCCGCTACACTAAGCTACTGGAAGACAGGGACTCCACCACAGATATCCTGGAAGACCCTCCACCTGCATGGGTTTGAGTAGATGTGCTCCCTGATGGGTGTGGTGCAGAAGGCACATCTCTGTGCTGGCATGTTAGAAGATCTAGTTCCAGCCTAGCTCCACTCAATAAAAATAGCTGCTGGTTTACTGTGTGCCTTCTCAGTGCCAGACACACACCTCATCACTATCTCTAATCTTCTTTACCACCCTGCAAGTTTGATAGTATCATGCCCATTTTATAGAATACAAAATGGAGACTGAAAGGTTGACAACCTTGCCCATAGCCACACAGTAGAGCACAGACCAGAACCTGGGTCTGTTTGGCCCTAAAACATGAGTTCTTTGTGCATGGCCCTACTCTGCCTTCCAGCTGAATTCATCTGTTCTAATGTGGTGAGTGAGGGTCAGTGCTAAACACCATGGTGGCTTGCTTCTGTCTTCAGTGTGGTGTCATAGGGGTTAAGCTATGGTTAACAAACTCCCTTGGTTTGGGAGAAGTGCCCCATCCATGGTGTGAAAGTCTCCCAAATTTGAAAGTTTTCACAAAGCAAAACCCCGACCTGGATTTGGCTCTGCAAACTGATGTGACTCTGGTTCAGTGGACATTTTTCTACTTGACAGATGTTTAAGTACCTGTTGTAACGGATGACTCTCATGTGGCATAAGGGACAGGGCACTGGACTAGAAGCCAGGAGACCCTGGGTCATGTCCCACCTCTGTACCTGACTCACTTTGTGATGGTAAACAAGTCTCATCCCCTCTCTACACCCCCACTTTCTACATTAAAAAGTAAAAGATTAAACAGGATCGGTAACTTTTCAACTTTTTACTTTTTCAGGAATGACGCATGTTTCTCAAATCAAATCTCTCACTGACCCGTAAAATAAAAAACATAAAAACGTTAGTGTGCCCTACTCAGGCCTCCCCCTCACCACTCTCACCCCCCTCCAGCGCACCCTCTCCCCTGTCTCCTCAGAGCTCAATTTGGACTGCCATACTCTCCCAGGCAGCCCTGCCTGTTGCTTCTGATAAGCAGAGGCAGTTGCTTCTTCAGCCTCCAAAAGCAGATGGGAGTGGAATGCAGCTTTGGATTCCAGAAGCCAGGGGCCTGTGACAGGTTGTTCCTAGGAGGTGAATCAGAGACTTGTAGACCTGGCTTCAAAATCTGACTTGACTCTCCAGAATGGCATTGGGGAAATCACTTCACCTCTCTGAGCCTCAGTTTCGTTATCACTAAAAGTTGGGACAATCTTCTGTAATTAAATGAGATACTGTATATAAACTAACTAGTGCAGTGCCCAGCACATAATATGCACTCAGTATGTTTTTCTGCATTTCCCTCCATCTTTCCAGCCCCAAGGCAGAGAGAAGCATATTGAATCAAGTGTTTATCAGTACTGTGAGGTATAGTAGATAAAACTCTGTGCCTGGAGTCTATAGCAAGTTCAAATTCTGGATGTGTGTCCTTGCAGAAGTGAGCTGGGCTAACTCCTGGCAGACCTGAGAGCAAAGTCCTGCACAAAATCGGCAGTCAGGCCCCTAGATCTACTGAGTGATTGCTCATTTAGGGGATGGGGGCTAGCAGTATGATTACATCGTTGACGAGGCCTGGCCTGCCCTGTGTCGGATGGTGAGGCTGGCCCAGAGGGAGGCGGCAGGGTGGGTCCCTGTGTATGGCTCTTGATAACCTCAACCCTGCCAAAGAGGAGGACCTGATAAAATGCCTCCCCCTGCGCCAGCTGATTGGGAGGGAGCTAAAGGGTCCTGGGAGGCTGTGGGGAGAAAGGCAGCCTCAGTATACTAAAGGATTCCCCTGCCTGGGAGTTGACATACCAGGATTCTAAGCCTGCTATTTAGCCTCTAACGTGCTGTGTGACCTTGGGTGAGTGCCTGCCAGCTCCCACGTTCTGTGGCTCTTTTTTTTTTCTCCCCCACTTGGTTACTAGATGTTCCCCAGGCACCTCCAAAAGGAAGTGTCTAAAACGGAGCTCATCACCCCCTCCTCAGCCCTGCTCCCCACCACCCTCTTCCTGCCCTGTCCCTGTCAGGGACATCCATCCAGCCACAGCCTCTTGGCTGCCTTCCCCCTTAAACTGACCCTTCCCCACCTCTCAGACCCCTACAGCCTCCATGCTTCTCTGCTTCCGGTCTGCTCTGCTTAGGCTGCAAGATTTATCTTCCTAAAGCCAAGCTTTGACCAGCCCTCCAGGCGCCTGTGCAGAATCTTTTGTCTTCCTCAGTCTGCACTGAGGCCTCTGTAGTCTGGCGTCCCTCATCAGACCTGGCCTCCTTTCTTCCTCTCCTCCACTCCTCCTCCTCTTCACTATACACTTGTCTTGACTGCCTCCTCGATTGCTTCCTCATGTCCTCAGAACAGTCCATAGCCAATTCCTCCTTCCCACCTTTGCCCCTTGCTTCCCTTCCTGAAGGAACACTGTCCCCTTTGCCTCTGTCAAGCTGAATCCGCTCATCCTGCAGAACTGAGTTCAAGCCTCCATCTTCCAGCAAGCCTCTTCTGGCCTCCTAACTCATGTTCTAATACTCATGTCTCATTTATAGTCAGGGCCCTCCTCTCCGAAATGCACACAATAAGCTCTACCTCCTAGGACTGTTGTGTGGACTCGAAAATCGAAGTGTGAAAGGACCCGGTGTGGCCTGGCACACTAAGTAGGTGCTCAGGAAACAGTGTTAATGCCCCAGCTTCCTTCTGTCTTATTTGGTTGGCATTCCAGGCATGTTGTTTTGTACTTCATGTAATTAAATATTTACTGTGTGCCAGGCCCGGGGCAGAGTGCCCTGGGGGAGGTCAAAGGGAGCTAACCCTGGACCTTGCTCTGCAGGAGCTCTGTCTACTGGGATTAGATAACTCTACAAAGAACTGTTATGTAAGAGATTGTGATCTAGGCAGGAAGAGAAGCTTCTGTGGCAGAGGGGAGGAGGAGTGGCTCATGGAGAACCAGTAGGATTTGGGTGTGGGGAGATTGTGGGGAGAGCAGGAGCCTTCTAAAGGTAAAGGGAGCAGGGTGAGCAGAGCAAGAAGGTGGCTTGTGTTTATGAATCAGCAGGTTGGCTCCTTGGGCTGGAAAAGACAGGGCTTTGGTGGCCACTCTGCAGCGCGTGTGTGTACGTGTTTCTGTATGTGTCTCTCTGTCATGCACAGTGCTGTTTGATCCTCTTAGTGTGTGTCATGCGTGACACAAAGTCCATGTGCCAAGGTGTTAACAGTGCTGCTCTCTAGAAGTAGAATTACAGGGAATGTTTCTCTTTTTGCTTATCTATAATTTTCTAAAATTTCTGCTGTAAACATGGAACTTTTTCATGAAATAAACAAAGGTTAAATGTTGGCTAGATCATTACTTCTCAAATTATCTGTGAGGGAGGACCAGTTCTTTTTTCCCCCCAATCCATCATAGATGGATTATTTGATAAAGTATAATAAAAATAAGTTACTAGAAAAATGTTATTTCTTTAAAAAGTAGCCATACAAAATACAAGCCCAAGTTTTATATTAGAGTCAATAGACCTAAAATTACTTTGTCATATTGCTATGAAAGTTCCTAAAGGCTTACTTTCATGTCTCCACTCAGCAGGGTTTGATGGATCACATTCTGAGTAGAACTAGGCTAAAGACCGGGGGAGGGAGGGATCTGGAAGGGCCTGGAAGGGTTGACCATCTCCTGGGGACAAGGACCATGTCTTATGTGCCTCCCGCCACCCCCACAGGGCTAAGCATACAGCCAGCACCCCAGGAGCTCTCCATTCTGCCTGGCTACCCTGTGCCCCACTGAGGCCATACCATGCAGCCCCGGTCTGTCCTGCACAGTGGCTACTTCCACCCACTGCTTCGGACCTGGCAGGTAGCCACCACCACCCTCAACGCCTCCAACCTCATCTATCCCATCTTTGTCACGTGAGTTCCCAGGAATGGGCCAGGCCTCAGATCTGCTGGGGTGGGGTGGGTGTCAGTGTTGCTGGGGGTGGTACAGGGGGCTGTCAGCTTGAAACTCAGATGACCCTTCTGTTGGAAGTGGCCTACTGAGTTAAGGACAGCAGTCTTAGGAACAAAATAAACCTTGAAAAGAACTCAATCTTTCCATCATGGAAAATGAGAAGAATAACCCTTGACTGCCATCCTGAGCTTTTGCAATAAGATAAAAGGTGTTTTGTTGATTGCAAAGTGCATGTACATGTAATAGGTGGCAATCATGATTATTAATAGCAACGGCATGCATTTATTGAGTACTTACTGTGTACCAGGTACTATGCTGAATGCCTACACACATTATCTTATTCAATCCTGACAGCATTCAGAAGAAGAAGGTACAGGTATTATCCCCTAGAATATCAGCCCCGTGAGGGCAGGGATTTTTGTCTGCCTTGTTCACTGCTGTATCTCTAGAGCCTAGAACCGTGCCTGGCACGTAAGTGCTCAGTAAATATTTGTTGAATGAATGAGTCCACCTAGGTTACAAATGAGGAGTCTGAGACTCAAAAGAGATGATACAACTTGGCCAAACCCATCCAGTTACTAAGTGGAAGAGCTGGGCTAGGAAGCGTGGGTCACCTGACATCAGATTCCACATTCTAAACTACTTGACTTGCTCCTATGACTGCTGTTCTTTTAGTATAACTGCTCTCGTTGTCACTGTTATTCTTGTTCCTGTTATTATTTCAGGCCCTGGGCTTGGCCAGGCAGGGAAGCCAGACACTGATCCCATTCTCCTCCCACCATCTCCACTTCCATATTCCTTCCCATCCCCCAGTCATCCCTCTCAGTCACCCCCTCACCCACTGGTCCTTCCCACAGCTACCAATCCATAGCCCACCCCCACTCTTACAGGGACGTTCCTGATGATGTACAGCCTATCGCGAGCCTCCCAGGAGTGGCCAGGTAGGAGACATGGTGGGGAGGGCAAGGGGATGGTGGAGGAAGGAGTTTCACAGGTGGAGGTGCCAGAAGGCAGAAGCAGACCCAGGAGATGGAAGACCTAGAGAGGCAGACTTCATCTCAGTAGAGAAGAGTTTTCTTAGAGTCAAAGCTGTTCCACAATAGAAGAGGCAGCCTTGTAAAGTAATGAGCTACCTATCACAAGAGGCATCGTAACAGAGGCTAGTTGCTGGCTGGATGGGGCTGCTGCAGAGGGGATCTGAACTTCAGATGGGGGCTCAATAGGAGAACCTTGGAGGGGCCTTCCACAGCTGAATTCCATAGCCCTGCTACTTAGGGCTCAGTTTCTCCATCTATTGTGTGTGTTCCTGTCCCTTCCCTGTACTGTGGCTGCGGGGCTTGAACCCTTGTGGTGCTGTGTGCAGCTTGGCTCTTAAGAGAAGCACAGTGCTGGGGCGGGGGGTGGAGATCTTTGCCTAGGACCTGCCTCACTTCAGCCCCTCCACCCGACTCCACACCACCCAGGTATGGTGTGAACAGGCTAGAAGAGATGCTGAAGCCCCTGGTGGAAGAGGGCCTGCGCTGCGTCCTGATCTTTGGCGTCCCCAGCAGAGTTCCCAAGGTAAAGAATTGGAGAAACGATTGAGAGGGGAGGGGAGAGGACACTGGGTGAGGGCGAGCTGAGGTTCCACACTGACCACACCCTGACCCAGGCCCTCTGCTGGCCCTGGGGCCACAGGTCTCTTCCCTAAGACAGCACCTGTGAAGATTCAGAAAGCTGAGTAGGGCCATGACACCCTGACTGGGCAAGTCAAGTCCCCTGTGTGGGCCTCTGTTGCCCCCTCTGTAAAATGGGGACAGTCCTCCCTGTGCTTCCCCATCCAGGGGCTGTGACGGTAAGAGTAGAGGGCCAGGCTGCACTTTGTGATGGCTGGCTTTCGCGCCTTCCCGAAAGCTTCCTGTAACAGACATGATGCTTTGTCCTTCCCCTGCACCTAGGATGAGCGGGGCTCTGCAGCCGACTCTGAGGACTCCCCAGCTATCGAGGCGATCCGCCTGTTGCGGAAGACCTTCCCCAGCCTCCTGGTGGCCTGTGACGTCTGCCTGTGCCCCTACACTTCCCATGGTCACTGTGGTGCGCTTCCCCCACTGGCCAGCCCTGCTGCTACCCGCAATCCCAGTGCCCAGTTCTCCCCGGGATAGGGATGTACCAGGGCCCAAGGTACTCCCCAAAACCGAGCCCTCTGTCCTCCAGGGCTCCTGAGTGAGAATGGGGTATTCCGGGCCGAGGAGAGCCGCCAGCGACTGGCAGAGGTGGCACTGGCCTATGCTAAGGCAGGTACGTGAGCCAGCCAGCAGGGAGTTGGCAGGGAGCCTCTAGGTCAGGGAGGTGGCAGAGTGGACAGGAGGGTCCCAGAGTTCTGAAGGCCACCCTCTGCCCCTCAGGATGTCAGGTGATAGCCCCGTCGGACATGATGGATGGACGCGTGGAAGCCATCAAGGAGGCCCTGATGGCACATGGACTTGGCAACAGGGTACAGGGCAGGGAGTGCAGGCTATGCGCAGGAGGAGCGTAGGGAGGTGAGGAGAGAGCTTGGATCAGCCCTGCCCTCCAGAGCTGCCAAGAATCGCAGAACTGAGGACAAGACTGGATGAGGCCTTTGGGATCCATCCTTACCTCTGTTCCTCAGATGGGAAATCAAAGCCCAGAGCTCCAAAGGACTTGTCTAGTGATGCGGTGGGGCTGGGATGAGAACACAGGCACTCTTCTTCCCAGCCTAGGTCCTTTCTGTCCCTGCCACATCACCTGGGACGTCTAGAGAGGACTGGCTGAGCCCGGGCCCATTGTTTTCCGCAGGTGTCGGTGATGAGCTATAGTGCCAAGTTTGCTTCCTGTTTCTATGGACCTTTCCGGTAAGTGGGTACAAACAGGGGTCTGCTGTTAAATCCGTGGTCATTTAGCCCAAAGCTGGGGCCCATCTTCATGACTCTGCTTTGCAGAGATGCAGCTCAGTCAAGCCCAGCTTTTGGAGACCGCCGCTGCTACCAGCTGCCCCCCGGAGCACGAGGCCTGGCCCTTCGAGCGGTGGTGAGTGACCAGGGCTTGAGCCCCGCCAGTCTTTCTCCTTCCCTTCCCTCCACTCCCCAGCACTGCCAACACCATACCCTCATCCCTTAGGACCGGGATGTACGGGAAGGAGCCGACATGCTCATGGTGAAGCCAGGGATGCCCTACCTGGACATGGTGCGGGAGGTGAAGGACAAGGTGAGCACAGAGCAGAGGCAAGTGGGGGCTCAGGGAGATGAGAGTTTACCCAGAGACTCTGCGACCTTAGATTAAGGGACTGCAGAATCTCAGAGTTGGGAGGGATCTGCCCCTGAATCTTCTTCACATCTCTGCCCAGGTATAACTATGGGCTTAACAGCTCAAGCAAGTGCCAGGCTGCCAGCAGTAGTGGCTCAGGGCATGGGGTGGTCCCAGACTGGGCAGGGAGGAAAGGACGCTCCCAGAGGCACCCCCGTCCTCTACTTCAACCTTGTCTGCCTGTTGCTGCTTCTCTGTAGCACCCTGAGCTCCCTCTCGCTGTGTACCATGTTTCTGGAGAGTTTGCCATGCTGTGGCACGGAGCCCAGGCTGGGGCATTTGATCTCAAGGCTGCCGTACTGGAGGCCATGACCGCTTTCCGCAGAGCAGGTAAGCAGGCGAGAGTGGGCTTTTTTGACCTGTGCCTTGGTGACTGATAGGCACTTTGCCGAAATAGGGAAATGAAGTCATGAGGCAGCCAAGAAATAGCAGTGATATAAACCCAGATTGCGGAAGGGATGTAGATCTGCAGAACAGAACACCGAAGGAAGAGTGAGGAAGGCAGAACCCCCATCACTTTTCCCAAGGCTTGTGAGGCCTGGGGAAAGCCACTTCTCTGAGCCTCAGTGTCCTCACCTATAAAGTGGGGATAAGATACCTGGTGCGTGCTTGTCGCGAGGATTACAAGAGATACCGTATGTAACTGGCATATGCTTATCACTCCATCAGAGGGAGCTGGTTTTGTTGGTATGGCACACCAGTGTGGGAAGGGCACTTACTGCTTGTCTATTTCCCCCACCATGCATTTTATACGTGAACAAACTGAGGCCCAGAAAGAGAAAATGACTTGCCCAAGGTCACACAGCATATAGGGCTAGAACTGACTGGAGCTGGGCTCAGTGTTACATTGTGACACCCATAGGCCATGTCTCTTCGTGGCAGCCAGAGGCCCTTCCTCCCTCCCTGGCCCTCATCTCCCAGAAGCTGTGCCAAGAGCTGATACGCCACCAGTTTCTGCGTCTCTCCCACCACAGGTGCTGACATCATCATCACCTACTACACGCCTCAGCTATTGCGGTGGCTGAAGGAGGAGTGAGGGACAGAGTGTGCAAGACCCAAGAACTACAATTCAGCAGAATTCCTGGGGCCTTGGAGAAATGAAAACCAAAGTAAATGCTGCTTTTAGAACTGTGCCCTTGTGCCCTCTTCCTGCTCACATGCTGGTGGTTTCTGTGAGCATGCTACATCTTTCCCCTTCAACCACATCCTCACGACTCTCCAGAGGTTCCCTACCCCTCCCCTGGGTCAGCCCCCAGGCTCACTTCTGCCACCTCCAGCCCCTGTCTCTCGTGTGCCTTCAGCTTGAAAGCAGCCAGGAGGTATGGCTGCAGGCTTGCGGGCCTGCAAGGAGAGGGGCTTGGAGCATTAGGGAAGAGGAGAACAGTTGGATCCTAAGAAGCCCTGGAAACCCCAGGGCCTCTGGCAGCAGAGCTGGGCACTGGACTGAGACCTGGATTGATATCACTGGGTATACAGTTGAGATTTGCTGCAATTCCACTGGAAGGCATTTCCCACACAGGCTGCTTGCAATGTCCCGTTCTACTCTGAGCCATAAACCCAGAGAGGAATTACTCATTAATGAGCAGAAACGTTGCCGGAGAATCAAAATTCAGAAGCAAAGAGAAATTCCCTGACTGTTGGAGATGCTACCACCAAAAAAAGGCTTTTTATTCAAGAGAGATTTGTTGAGAACCTGGGCTGGGCACTGGGGATACAGCAAGACTGACCTCAGCTTGTCAGTCTTTATGAAATTTATACAAGGAGAGTGGGGAGACAGACAACAGTAAGAAAACAGACAAATAAAGCAGTTACAAACCATAATAAGTGCTTCAAAGGAAACAGACTGAGATAGAGAATAACAGGGGAGGGTCTTCTCTTGAGAGGGTGGTCAGAGCCCCCCTGAGGTTGAGACCTGTGAGGGACAAAGGAAGATCCCTGCAGAGAATGGAGGGAGGCACACTGGAGGCCATGAGAACCACACATGTGCGAAGAGCCTGTGGTGGGAGGAGCTTAGCGGGGCTGTTAGGAGCAGGGGGAGAAGAGGGTGGGTGATGGGACTAGAGGTTGGATAGGCAGGCCAAGGCCAGATCCCACACTGCTAGGGAACCTAGATTTTTTTTTGCATCTGATGGGAAGCCAACTGAAGGATTTTGACGAGTTACGTGTGTTCCAATTTCCAGTTTCTGCCACGAGGGAGATGAAGGGGCAGAGAGACTGGTGAAGGGGCTGTTGTGGACCCTGATGAGCAGTGATGGTGGCCTGGACCAGGGTGGTGGCAGTGGAGATGGGAGAAAACACATGAATTCAGGATACATTTTGGAGACACAGCTGGCAGATTTTGCCAGTGTTTTAAATCAGCCTCTAGATGAGTGTGAAGGAACAGGAGGAAGCAAGGATGACTGAGTTTCTGATTGGAGCAACTCCGAATGGGTGGTGTCAATTCATTCTCCTGAAACTAGTACAGCATAATGTTTCCCCCTAGGGACAGTGAAGGCCCAGCTAAGGAAGGAGCCAGTTTGTAGGTTGGCAGGGAACTCCAACTATCGAGCTAAGGCAAGTTCAATTCGGGCCTTAAAGCAATACGATTTATTTTGATGGATTTTAAGCAGGGGAATGACTCTGATTTTCATCCGTTAAAGTATTTGGACAGCACCATGGCAAAGTGCAACTGAGAAATGGTGGTGGCCTGAATTGGGGTAGGGGGTGACTTGGGGGTAGAGAGGGAGAATGGATTTAGGATGTATTTCAGAGATAAATTAGATTTTGGCTTGAGTTCCTTCCTGGGTAGCTGATGGGCCATCTACTGAGACGTGGAGGCCTGGAGAAAGAACAAGAATAGGGTGAGGGTGGAGATGGCATCCTAAATTTAGCTTGGGATGCTTTGCAATGACAGAGCTATATCTGGAGAGGTTAGGCAACTCACCCAAGGCCACTCTAGACTGGAGTCTAGAACCACAGTCACCCAGAAAGCATCAGAGCTAGGATTTGAACCCATATAGGCCCAACTCCAAGGCCCCTGCCTTTAACCACTTGTCATTGCACCTCCCAATAAACAATAGCAAAATTACAGGTCCAGTATAATGCTATAATAGCTTTAGTAATGGGAAAACTAAGGGGTGGCATCATGGTCTGTGTGAGTGGCACCCTCTGTAGTCAGGACTTGTTACTGATTGTAGACTTGGTATCTGCTCCAACCCAGGCAGGCCAGACTCCTCTGTAGGGTCCCAGGGGTCTGGCTCCTTCAGGGTCCCAGTCTTCTGTTGTGTGTCCTGCCCTTGCTGGTAGTAACCTTATCCTGGCACAGAGAACTAAGTTTTCACAACCCTGCAAGGTGTATTATCAGACTTCCAGGCATCACAACATGAAAGGCCTCTCCAAAGTGAGACTTGATTTTCTCGTTCTGCTTTCAGATATGTCAGCTTGGACAGGAGCTTGTCTCTTTCTTGCGAGCCCGTACTGAAGGCCACAACAAGTAGCCAACATATTCCATTATCCTGACTTTTTTTGTTTTACTGAGATTCCTAAAACCTTAACTTTAGTGGGCATATAGTTGAGGCTCCCCCACCTAAAAAAAAATCACATACTTGCGAAGAGTGTGCTTCTTAGCTCAAGTAGCTACATGAGACTAAATGGGCAGCTCCTGTCCAGAGGTGACATGGGAAGGCAGAGAGGGTCAGGAGCTGGTCGAATGGACACAGGAAATCAGGGGTGGAAAGGAGGAATGTGCTGTTACAGTACAGAGAGAGCAATTAGGGTCACATAACAATGTATAAATTTTTGTAGGAGAGACTTGAATTATAAACTTTCAGTCAAATTACAACAAAATTTTTTTAAAAATTGCAAAACAATGTACATTTTAACTAGCCACTTTACTACTTAAAAGCAAAGATGACCAATTCCTCCAGTAGGAAAGGGGGGATCCTGACTTCAACACCCCAAACTGACTGCCAGTTAGGACTTGTAATTTGAAGCACCCCATTCTCAGGGCGCTCTTGGTTGCAAGTGACAGAAGCCCAATTCAATAGCAAAAAAAAGGAAATGATTGGTTTCCATAACTAGATTATAATAACCAGGTGTGGTTGGATCCGGGGCTCAAAGGCTTTCATGGAGGACTCTGTCCCTTTCTAACTCTCATCTGTGTTTGCCTCAGCTTGGCTTTATTCTCAGGCAGGCTTTTGTCACTTGGCTGGCAACAACATGGTCTCCAATAACCTCAATAACCTCAGGCTTATATGGTTGTCCTTAAGACTTACTATCCAAGAAAAAGATCCTTTCTGTCCCATGGTTGACATATCAAATCTTTGGAGGTCTCTGATTGGCCCTGCTCAGGTCACATGACCCACCTCTTGGCTCAATCACTGTAAACAGTGGAAGATGGGGCACTTTACAGACCAGGTCTGTCCCAATTACAGAAGAATGCTGTTGTCTCAAGAGTTATTGCATTAGTGATGCCCTTTGCCTGGAATGCTTTCACCCCAAGTCTGTATGGCTGACTACTCCTTTTTGTTGTTAAGATTTCAGCTTAAGTGTCACTTCCTTAAAGAAACCTGCCCTGACACCCAATCTAAGGTCATTCCCCAGTCACTTTCTATATATTAGGATTCAGGTTCAAGGGGCCTTTGCTTAAAATAACAGTAGCTGAAGATGAAACTTTATTTCTAAGCAATCCTGGGCTGATAATGTCAGCTACGTTGTCTTACTCATCTAATGCTGCTATAAGAGAAATACCACCACAAGTGGATGGCTTTAACAAAGAGAAGTTTATTTCCCCACAGTAAAGTAGGCTAAAAGTCCAAATTCAGGGCATGAGCTCCAGGGGAAGGCTTTCTCTCTCTGTCGGCCTTGTCATCAGTGTTCCCCCGGACTAGGAGTTTCTCCGCGCAGGGACCCCAGCTCCAAAGGATGTGCTGTGCTCCTGGCACTGCTTTCTTGGTGGTATGAGGTCCCCTTGTCTCTCTGCTCACTTCTCCCTTTTATATCTCAAGAGATTGTCTCAGGACACAATCCAGTCTTCTAGATTGAGTCCTGCCTTAATAACACAACTGTCGCCCATCCTCCCGCATTAACATCATAGATGCAGGATTTACAACATATAGGAAAATCACACAATACCAGGAATCATGGCCCAGCCAAACTGATATACATTTTAGGGGGGACATAATTCAATCCATGACATCCATGGAGTGGAGGGTCTGGGTTCTTGCCTTGTTCTGCCTTCCTCAACTCATAACTTCCAGTTCATGATCAATGATGACTGGCCCAGTTCCTACCATCAGGTCTTCTTTTCGGTCAGCAGAAAGGAAAAGGGTAAGTGGAGGGTATGATGAGCCTTCCTCATAAGGGCATAACCCAGAAATGGCACACATCACTTCTGTTCACGTACTTTTGCCTGAACTTAGTCACCTGGCCACACCTAGGTGTATAAAGGAGGCTGCAAAATAGAGTCAAGTGGGGCAGCCATGTGCTTAGCTAATACTTAGGAGTTCGACAACTAAGGAAGATGTAGAGAATGGATATTGGAACAAATGGCCATCTCCACTACATGGAGTTTCCTGTAATCACAGAAATAGTAGCCAGAATATCAAAGCAACAATGTTGTTAGAAACCAGCTAGTTAAACACTCATTGTATAGATGGGAAGAAAGACCCAGAGAGGGGACTTGCCCAAAATCACACCATAAGCCAGTGGCAGAACCAAGGCTGGGATCCAGAACTCTTAACTCCAAGCCCAATTTTAAAAGTGTGAACCACTGATAATGTGAGCCTATGAAGGGGTAAGGGTGAGGGATTGGTTTTAGAGCAACTTTTGCTTTATACGTACTTTACCTTCAGATGCATTTCTTACAAGGATATATTCTTGCATTATTTGTGTAAATAAAAGTAAATGAAAACTTGACCAGTACATATATAAAAAAATCTTCATTAGTCAATGGAGATATGCAAATTAAAACCACGATGAGGATACCACCATACTTCTATCATGCCTAAAATTAAATAGACAATGCAAAGTGTTGGTGAAGACATGGAACAACTGGAACTCTCAGACACTGCGGGTACAACCATTTCAGAAGACTGGCCCTATCTACTAAAGCTGAACATATGCATACCCTACAGCCTAGTGATTCCACTCCTAGGTATTTACTCAACGAAAATGTGTAATACGTTCACCAAAAGACATATCCAAGAATGTTCATAGGAACACTATTTGTAATAGCCAAAGGCTAGAAACAACCCAAAAGTCCATCAACAGTAAAACGTGGTATATTCATATAATGGAATATTACAGCTGTGAGAATGAAGGCACCATAATTACACATAGCAACAGGGACGAATCTTACAAACAAAATCTTGAGCAAAAGAAGCAAGACACAGGGGTGCATCCTATATTAATCCATTTATATACAATTCAAAAACAAGTAAAACTATGCAATTTAAAGTCAGGATAGTGGTTACCCTTCAGGGTAGTAAGTGACTAGAAGAGGACAGGGAGCTTTCTAGGATTCTGGAAACGTTCTTTTTCTTGGTCTGAGTGTTGATGGCACAGGTATGTTCACTTTGAAAATTCAAGGGTGTGTACACTTATGTGCACTTTTCTTTATGTATGATGTATTTCAATAAAAAGTATACTAAAAAAATAAGTAAATGAAAACTTTCAAGAGAGAGAGAAGTGTTTGACTAGTGGGCCCAACCTAGGTTTACTTAGTGTTTTCGGTATTAGAATCTCAAGGAGAAAGCCCTCACAGAAGAAGCTTGGTTTCCCAAAGGAAAATAACTTAAGCCAGTGTCCAGAACAGTAACATGCCCGGTCTCTCCAGGTCAATCACTAGGTCAAGGCTCACACAGGGCAGGTCAAGGTATGAAAACTGGCAGAGGATTTCTGTCATCTGACGTTGGGTGAAAATATACCCAGTAAGTGTACCCATTTCTGAAGTGGCAGAAGCTTGTTCCAGAGTAGCAAGGACCTGTCATTTGCTTTCCTGTGACATGCAAACTCCTTTTTCTGCTGAAAAGGCTAGAAAATGAAAAGCAAAACAATGTAGGAGACAGTTAAATCAGGGCCACAGCTTCAGGAGATACATTCACAGCAATTGTCATGGAGACGTCCCTCCAGGAGCTGTGCAGTACAATGGCCCTAGGTTGAAGTAGTTATGTGACCCAAACAAAACCCTTAACCTCTCAGGAGTCTCCATTTTTCTCATCTGGAAAGAATCATATTTTACTTCTCAACAAGCTCTTCCATGTGATTTCATTTGATCCTGATGTAGACAATGCTATGCTCTATTTTCATACAGACAGACTGAGGCTCAGTGGGGCAAGGTTTAATTACCTTGGAAATCAATTTAAAAATTATCCTTAGGTTGGTTTCTCTAGAGAAGCAAAACCAGTGAAGCATATATATATATATAGATACATAGAGAGATTTATCTCAAGGAATGGCTCATGCAGTTGGGGAGGCTGGCAAGTCCCAAACCTGTGGGTCAGGTGTCAGGCTGGAGGCTTCTCCTGACTCACATGGTTGCAAGGGCTGACGAACTCAACAATCAGCAGGTCAGACAGTAGGCTGTTGGCTCAAGGGGCTGCAGAAGCTGGCAAATCCCAGAACTGGCAGGTCAGATGACAGGCTCAAGTCCCAATAACCAGAGGTCAGATGATGACAAGCCAGATGCAGGATCCAGAGCAAGGGAGAGCTTTGCCATAGCATCCATATATATATTGAATGCAGGTTACACCTCTACGGAAACTTCCCTCACGTCAGAGTAAGGGCGTGACTTGAGGAAAATACACCCCACACTAATCCTGCCTCATTAACATACAGAAGTTAGGATTTACAACACATAAAATGGGGGATAATTACATCAGGTCATAAAATGGAGGACAACCACACAATATTAGGAATCATGGTCTAGCCAAGCTGACACATAACATTAACCATCACATCATCCTTATAAGTTATTTTGTCTAATCCCCTATTTTACATATTGAAAGACTAAAACCCAGAAAAGAGATGGGATTTAACTGAGGGTTTACAGAAGGTCAGGTGGCAGAGCTAGGACCAGAACCCAAACCCTCTGATGTGGTTGGGTTTTAGGTGACCCTGAAAAGTGGACAATCTCAGATATTCTCAGATTTTGTGAAATGCAGACAGACCTCTGGCCTCCCAATCACCCTTCCCACCCCCTCTTTTAGGAACTGTGCTTGTGACATAAAACCAGTTTTGCCAGCTAAGTCCCTGGAGTCAAGCTCTTCACTTTGTGTTTACTCTCAGGCCTGAGTCCAGTAAGAGAGTAACATGGTTCTGAATGAAGTGAACAGACCAGCCCTGGAATACAGGAAGGGGTTGTTGGGGTTTTGTTTGTTTTAAAAGAGGGGGAAGGAAGAAACTTACATACATGTTTGTGTGCTCCTGGAAAAACATCTGACAGAATGATGACCAAAATGTCACTGCGGCTACCCTTGGGGAGCTATCCCTCCTCTTCCTCTGACCCCCCTCCAGCATTGACATTGCCCTTGTTCCATAAGTAGGTTCCAGCTCTAGCACCTTTGCACTTGCCTGGAGTACCTGTGCCTTGATCTTCGCCTGCATCCTCCCCATGAAGATCTTTGCTCCTCCCTTGACCACTGCATCCAAAGATGCCCCCATCACTGTTCATGAAACCATTCTGTTTTATTGCCTTAGTGATTTTAGCGCTATCTGAAATCATCTTAACTTTTGTCTGCACCTCCCATGTTCTGTAAAGGAAAGAACCCTGTCTGTTTTCCACTGAATACACAATGAAGGTCAGCATCAGGCATAGATGCTCAATAAAAAGCTAATAAATGAATGAGGTTGGAAGGTTACTTTCATTTTTTATTTTGTACACTTGTATTTTTTACGATTTTTGAGATGAGAATGCATTACATTTGCAAAACAACAATCAAACGTCTTTTTTCTCTCTCTTCAAAAGCAAAAAAAAAAAAAAGCAGCTGGGTTACTGCTGAGGACTCTTCCCTCAGGAAACTGTCTAGGGTTAGACAAGTCTCCAACCGAAAGGAATTTCCTTCCAGTAGCGAGTGGGCACTCTGGGGCCCAGGGAGGAACAAAGCCTTACCCAAGTCCACACAACACTCAGCAAGCCAGGCCGGAACTCAAATCCCTTTCCTCCCAAGTCAGCCAAGTCACTTCCCAGGGAATGTTCCGATTCAAGAGAGGCAGAGCGACGCGTGGGTCGGCAATGGGGAGCGGAGAAAGCGCCCGGAGGGGAGGAAGGAGCGGAGAAGGGCAGACATAGGAGAGGGCATGAGGGGCGAGCACAGAGAGGATAGAGAAGGAGCGCGGTGATGGTGAGACACCAGATGGGAGGCGGAAGGGGGCGGGACAGGGAACAGAGAGTGTGCGGTCAAAGGGACAGAGAGAACCTGGGATAACGGAAGGGAGGGGGCGGGGAAGGGGGGAGGAGCGGAGGTGCGCTAAGGGCAGGTGACAGTGGGGCGCGGGGTGAAGGGAAGTGAGAGTGCGCGGGGGAAGGCAACCGGAGGTGGGCCCGGAGGAGAGGTAAGGAACGTGGAAAAGTAGGGGAGACCGAAACAATGGGAGCGGGGGTGGGCGAGCGGAAGTGGAGGGGGCAGGTCGGAGCGGGGTAGAGATGGCGAGGGAAGGGAAGTGAAGACAGCGGGCGGAGGGACACTGGCGGGAGACGGCTCGGAGCTGAGAGGACAATCCGGAGCACAGAGCACCTCCAGCGGCCCGGCGAGCCAGAAAGGCTCCGCCGCCGGCCCCGCCCCAAGTGGCCGTGCGTCTGCGTGCCTTTGCGGAAGCCGGCGTGGAGCCGTGGTTTCTTTCTTGATCAGCTTTACTGCGAGGCAGGTGGGTTCTGGGCCCCGGGGACCAGCGTCGAGCAGTAGGAGCGCGCTAGAATTGAGAAGGGGGCCCAGGAGTCCGGCCCCAGCAGCGGCCAAGGTCACGCTGCAAACGGTAGCTAGAGGGATTTCGCGTTAACTGCGGGCTACCTGACTTTGCTTCCACCGCGCCCTGGAGGCCAAGAGGAAGGGGAGCTATTCAGGCCTGCAGCCCAGAGCCTCCAGCCCTGGCTTCCAGAAATGGAAGACGCTGTGGATAGGATCGGGAGCCAGAGACCTTTGTTCCAATCTTATCTGTGCCATTGACTCCCTGCGTGACTTTGGACTTAGTCCCGCCTTTCACTGGGTCTCCATCTTCCCACCTGCAAAGTGAGCTGGCCTTTGGATGGGTTTCTCTAAGTTCCGGACTAATTTTCAAATTCATTTCCTTAACAGACTTCCTCTAAGACTCATTCCCTAGATTTCTCAGCCACAGTCCCTCCCTCAGCATCTCCTTGGCAACCTCACAGGGCCCTGAACTCTGGCCCCTCACATTTCAGCTGGACAGACCTGGATTGTCTGGAATCAGCACTGTCTAGGTGAAGAAGCTACATTCAGCCTCTGGACCACAGGCTGAATAATTTGTTTCCTGTGTATTAAGTCAGAAATCCTTTCATCTGCTTTCCTGCACATGATGAACTGTTATTACCTCCAGTAAAGATGAAGAAGCTGGAAGGGTTAGAGACCAGGTAGGACCAGGCTGCTGTGTCCTGCCTTTTTTCCTGTGCTGTACAGGTACACCAAAATCAGATTTTTTTTTTTTTTTTTAAATCCAACTATGGCTAAGCATGGTGCAGTGGAAAGAAGCACTGGCCATAGAGTCTAGGAGTTTGGGTTCTAGTCCTGGCTGTGCCACTAACTCACTGCGTGACCTTAGGCAAGTGTCTGCCCTCTCTGGTTTAGCCTTCCTTGCTGAATAGCGAGGGGGTTGGTTAGATGGTCTACAAGGACTCTACTATCTTTGGCATTGCTAATAATAGTAATAATAATAGTTGTTTCCTTCCCTTGACTTTCAAGGTCCTGCCTGAGCTGACCCCCATCTAACCAAAATACCAGACTCCTTGCCTTGCCTCAAGGCCTTTGCACTTGGCGGGAACACTTAACCACATCCACTTCCCACATATTTGTGTTTTCAAATCTCCATTGAAACTTTACTTGCTTCAGGAAAGCCTTCCCTGACAACAAAGACTAGATTGGCCCCCAAATTTATAGACTCATGGTACATTCTGCCTTAATTATGCTTAAGTGTTTGTGTAATTCTTTGTCTAAATATGTATCCCCTATCCTTTAATGCCTGTAAATGCCATTAGGGCTCGAAATCTGTCCTGTTCCCCAGCATCTAGCAAATAATAGGGCTTAGAAATTATCTTATGGCATGAATGAATGATCTTATTTAGTCCAACAATCTCTTGAGATTGGTGTCATTGTGCTCATCTTGTAGATGAGGAGACAGGGATTGAGAGAGTGAGTGATTTTCATAGGGTCACACAGTGAGTTAGTTAGCAGAGCCAGAATTTGGACCCAATCTGACTCCCAAGTCCTGAACTTCCACCTCGTCTGTCGTCTCTCATTCCAGGATCCTGTGCTGTGAAGATGTTCCCCAAGTGCCCGATGTCAGCCAGCAAGTCTGACTCATAAGGCCTGGAAAGAGAAGACTTTTAGGTTGTGGAGGGGTGATCTTGTCCAGCTCAGTTTCCCTTTGGCTCTGGGACCTGAGGTGGAATTGGGGTGGAATCAGCCTCCTTTTTGCACACCCATGGCACCCCGACTGCAGATACGGCTGATAACGTGGGATGTGAAGAACACACTGCTCAGGCTTCGCCACCCCGTGGGGGAGGAGTATGCCACCAAGGCCCGGGCCCATGGGCTAGCAGTGGAGGCCACAGCCCTGGGGCAAGCCTTCAGGCAGGCGTACCAGGCTCAGAGCCACAGCTTCCCCAACTACGGCCTGAGCCGGGGCCTCACCTCCCGCCGGTGGTGGCTGGATGTGGTCCTGCAGACCTTCTACCTGGCAGGTGTTCGGGATGCACAGGCTGTGGCTCCCATTGCTGACCAACTATATGAGGACTTCAGCAACCCCTGCACCTGGCAAGTGTTGGAGGGGGCCAAGGCCACCCTGATGGGGTGCCACAGGAGAGGTCTGAAGCTGGCCGTGATCTCCAACTTTGACCGGCGGCTAGAGGACATCCTGGTGGGTCTTGGTCTGCGGGAACACTTCGACTTTGTGCTGACCTCTGAAGCTGCAGGCTGGCCCAAACCAGATCCCCGCATTTTCCATAAGGCTTTGCAGCTTGCTCACATGGAGCCAGCAGTGGCAGCCCATGTTGGGGATAGTTACTGCTGTGATTATCAGGGTGCCCAGGCCATAGGCATGCGAAGTTTCCTTTTGACTGGCCCAGAGCCTCTGGACCCCGTGGTCAAGAATTCTGTACCTGAAGAACACATCCTCCCCTCATTGTCCCACCTTCTGCCTGCCCTTGACCGCTTAGAGGGCTTGCCCCCAGGGCTTTGAGTCTGCTAAGGGAAGTGGCTATGCCCTGAGGCCCTGCAGAAGCCCCTAAACAAATATAGAAGACAGGGAGTCCTTTCCTTCCCTGCAAATCTGGCCTTTGCCCCTCTCCCTGCAGCCTCCATAACCCATTCAGACTATAAAGCAGAGTGCTGGGCTTTCCACCCTGCTCCACTAACCTGCTCCTGGTGTCTGAGATCATTCATTACTGTTCACTCTTGTTCACACCTGTGTCCCTTTCTCAGTCCCCTTCACCTCCAACAAGATTCACAAGCATTTTCAAACTTCGTGTTAGCTGCAGTGCCCTATAATCATGGGATATCGTAAAATACGCAAAACAGAAATAACGAGAAGCTGCTAAGAGTTGAAACAGAGGTCCTAAGGCTACTGATTCAGGTTCCTGCAGCCCCCAAGACATCCTCTGCCCTTGGAAGTGGGTGAGAGGAGCTTAGTTTGAAAATCAGCGTGTTAAGCTATGCTGTAAGGGACGCTATCTACAAGGATTACAGTCTGAATGGGAGATTTTAGGGAACTACAGTCATGAGAAGAGCCACCATATGCCTGCTATGTGTCAGGCACGCTGCTAAGTTCTTCATATGCATTACTTTGTTTAGCCGTCAGAGTTACCTAGTGGGGCAGGTGTTGTGATCCCTACTCCCACTTTACGAATGAGGAAAACATTCAGAGGTTAAATAACCTGCCTGAGTCAGCAAGTGGTGGAGTCAGGATTCAAATTTAGGCATGTCTGACTCCAAAGCCCTTTGGCTCAACCACTAGGTTGCAAGTAGAAGGATCCGTGTCACATGAGACATACAGTGCAATGGAGATCTTGACAGTAGGGAAGATATTCTAAAGGATGTCAAGTGTGAGCAGAAGCATAGGGAAAAGGGACAGGGAAAGGGGACTGCAGCTCAGGGTGGTGGGATTATAGGGAATGTGGGGGAATAACTGGAGACTGGAGAAGTAGGTTGGGTTTTAAAATTCCATTTTTCTTCCTGCCTCGCCCCTCTACATACCGTTCTACTTGGTATTTACTGGGTACCTTTGTGCCTTGCCCAGTACCAGGCACTGGGGATACTAAAGGTTAAAAGCACATCAGACAGGTACACACAGTGTATATGTTCAGGTGCCAACAGCAGCAGCCAGGGAGGGGCCCTGAACTCGGGAGAGGGAGGGCATTTCTGGCAGCAGGCACATGAACTGTGGCCTAAAGGCTGCTGTAGGAAGTTAGGTCAGTGGGTTTAGGGGAGCAACGTGTGGGGCCTTCAGCTGCCAAGTTGCAGAACTTGGCTTTGACTCAGGTTTTTGGGCATAGGTTGTATCCAGGCAAAGAGAGGAAAGCTGTCTCCAGACTTGGCCAAATCCCTTCCAGGTTTGTCTTCCTTGGGCCTGGTGCCAAAGCCAGGCAACTTGCCATTAATTTCCACGTGTTGGGGCAGTGAGGACTCATGGCAGTCGTGAGTCATAACTTAGCTACAAGGGCCTCAGAGATCATCTCAACCAAAAAAATTGCCAATAGGAAGTCTCTGGGCTGGATTTGACCCATCCAGTGTTCCAAGTAAACTACTGAGCAAGCTTTTAAAGATTTCATTTTAAAATCTAGATTTTTCAGCTTCTTTTGAAAAACCTCTATTCCTGACCACTCTGGGCCCAACATCCCTCATGGCCACAAACAGCTGAAGCTGAGTAGTGGCTATCCTCAAATTTTGAACTCTATTTTACTTGTTGCCCACTGATCCCAGCAGGCCTTAGAACCCTGTCTCCAGGCTCTTTCTGCTATGCTGAGCTGCCACCCACTTGTTTCTGCAAATGTAGATGACAGGGAGGAAGACATCAACTTCCCTGGAAAAGCTGGGACTTGGGGGATGACAGTTGGGGCCAGCATACAGTATACACCCCATGACCAACAAAAGACATGGAAAAAATCTTTAAATCTTTTAAAACCTTTAATAATGTAGATGTTCCCTAAGGCCGGCTCTCTTACTTCCTCAGCTCTCCCTGGCTCGAAGCCTTCACACCCCAGCTTTCCACCTGAAGTGAGAGGGTCATAAGGTGGGGGCACTCAGCAGCTGCACTAGGGGAAAAAGTGCTTGGGTCTGAGACAGCTGCCTGATGCATGGGTTGCAGTCAGGTTACCTGGAGATACGATCCCCCCAGTCTTTGGAGTTGCTAGGCAGGCCCTGGGGGAGGAGGAAGGGCACAACCCCCCATGCCACCAGAATCCTCTGGCCAGAAGAAGCTTATCAGGAGCTCTGAATCCCTTCCAGTTTGTCCTTGTGTGCTGGAAAAATATTTTCTCTGTGCCATGTCATGAAAAAAATTGAGAAGCACTGAAGTGAAGGGATGAAGGGGCTTCAAGCACAGGCTTTTCTGCTAGAGAACCCCATTTACACACCCGAAGCTGAGGGCAAGGGGCTGAAAGGCAGTACTTTTCCAAGAGTCTGCCACATCCACCCGTCACTTGTCTACCCACCTACCTGTCTATCACTCACCAAATATTTATTGCATGCTCACTATGCACCAGGCACCGTGCTGGATGCCAGAGATATAAGACACCCTCAGAGGGGCATATGCATGGTGGACTGCGAGACTGAGGTGCAGGGAGTTGGCAGGTTCTCCAGAGATACCCAGCATTTGAGGCTGTGCCCAGATCTGAAATGGGCCCCACCTCTCCTAAAGCTGCCCAACAGGCAAGGCCTTATTTTCCCTTAGAAATGCCGCACACATTTGGGAAAAGGATACTGGGTAGAAATGTGGCCTGAAAGGGTTTGGGGGAGGTGGACCTGCCCTCGCTGTGGCTAAAGGTCAGCAGGTGATGGAAATGCTCTGGTCAGCCACAGCAAAGACTGGAAAGAGGGGCCCAGGGAAGGGGGTGTGATGGGTGTGGAGCACCGTGCCTGAGGATGGCTCGTAGAATAGCAGCTCTTGTGCCTGCAAGTCCAGCAGCACGCCCAGTCGTGCTGGGCAACGCAGTAGCCCCAGGGACTCGTGCTGCCCATTGTGAGAGAAACAGAAATCCTGGTCGTAGCGGGAGAAGACCCAGGAGAAGGTGTTGTAGCCCAGACGGGAGTCACTGCCAGAACCCTTGCGGGGCAGCTGGCCTGTGGCCACGCCCACCTTATAGGCACAGCTGTTCTGGACGTTCACCATCCAGGTGTGCAGCCCAGACTGGAAGGAGGTGGTAGCCAGGGCATTGGGCCAGTGGTCAAAGCGCTCTGGGCCATCTGCACAGGACTTGGACTTCTTGGCACTGAAGGTCAGGGTCCTTCGATCATCTGACAGTTCCAAGAAAGGGCTGACAGTCCTTTCATCAATACGCACATCTTCCATGCCTGCCAGAAAGAATTCTGAGTTGCCCAGGGCCCACCCCCAGCCCTAACCTGGTCCTGCCAGGTAGCAAAAGGCTTCCATGCCATCCACTGGTTGTGTGATCTTAGACAAGCCATTTATTCTCTCTGAACCTCAGTTTCCTCACCTGTAAAATTGGGATCAGAATAGGACTTAGCACAGGGTAGTCGTGAAGATTAAATGAGATGATACATGTCAAGTGCCCGACACATGATAAGTGCTCAATAAATTGTGGCAATGATGACAGTAGCTATTATTAGCCCAAGGCCTTTATCTGTAAACTCTTACAGAAATGAGACCCAGAGAGAAGTGAGTTGCCCAAGGTCACACACTGAGTTAATAACAGAGTCAAAGTAAAAAGCCAGCATTTTGTTCCTCCATTTAGCATCCAGCACTGATCATACTGCATTCTAATTGGTCCTATCTGCAGCCTCCAGAATAGGTCAGGCTTGTCCTAGAAACAGAGTTCCTAGAAGCTAGAAAGCCTTAGATATACAGTTTCTAACAACTAACTAAATGGACTGCTGGTAAATCAGGCACTGATATCAGATTCCAGAGTAAACAGCCTATAGTTTATACTAAATTTTTGAGGATCTTATGAGGGAAGGGGATTAAAATTGAGGAAAAAAATTCAATCCTTAACCCCACCTTTCTGTGAATTTACAAAGACCATCACTGGGCATGTGGAAGCCTCCATCCAGCTGGGAACAAACCTGCTTTAGGAACCCTGCGCTAAGTGGGAATTCCTGGAGGCAGCAGTGTGTCTTATTCACAACAGTAGCCCCAACAAGCAGTGTGGGGCCAGGCCTGCACAGGCCTGAGTCAAAGTTTGTCAAGTGAATAAGTAAGGTGAATCCACCAAAACCAACCCACTGCCATCGAGTTGATTCTGACTCATAGCAACCCTGTAAGACAGAGTAGGAGCCCTGGTGGCACAGTGGTTAAGAGCTCAACTGCTTACCAAAAGATCAGCAGTTCGAATCCACCAGTCACTCCTTGGAAACCGCATGGGGCAGTTCTACTCTGTCTTATAGGGTCACTATGAGTCGGAATCAACTCAATGGCAACGGGTTTAGTTTGGTTTGGTGTTAGGACAGAGTAAAACTGCCCCATAAGGTTTCCAAAGCTGTAAATCTTTACAGAAGCAGACTGCCACATCTTTCTCCCCAGAGCAGCTGGTGGGTTTGAACTGCCAACCTTTCAGTTAGCAGCCAAGTGCTTTAACCACTGCACCACCAGGGCTCTGAGATGAATCCAGGCAACCTTAATTTCCAGTCCAGATACTCTCTAGCTGGCCATCAATTTTATCTTCTTAAAGAGCCACTATACAGCTACCACTACCAACCACTCTGACTGGTACCATGATAATAGTAAGTCCTGGACAGAGTCGGAGAGAAATGTAGAACAAAATTCAAACTCATAAATAAAACCAGACTCCCCCTGAAACTGTTGCCCCCAGACGCTCTGCTAACTCAGAACTGAAACCATTCCCAAAGCCGACTTTTCAGAGATTAGATAGGCCTATAAAACAAAAAATAATACACATGAGGAATGTGCTTCTTAGTTCAATCAAATATACGAGACCAAATGGGCAGCTCCTGTCCAAAAGCAGGACGAGAAGGCAGGAAGGAACAGGAACTGGACGAATGGACACAGGGAACCCAGAGTGGAAAGGGGGAGCATGCTGTCACATTGTGGGGATTGCAACCGATGTCACAAAACGATATGTATATAAATTTTTAAATGAGAAATTAAGCTGTAAATGTTCACCTAAAGCACAATAAAATAATAAGACCAGACTTACTGGTCTGATAGAGACTGGTGGAACCCCCAAGACTATGGCCCTTAGACACCCTTCAAACTTGGAACTGAAATCACTCCCAGAGACCACATTATAGCCGTACAATAGACAGGCCTATAAAATGAACAATAACACCAGTGAGGAATGTACACCTCAGAACAATCAACTATATGAGACCCAAAGGGCAGCATTTGCCCAAAAGCAAAGTTCAGAAGGAAGGCAGGGGCAGGAAAACTCAGTGAATGGACACGGGGAACCCAGGAAGGAAGGGTGGAGAATGCTGACCCATTGAGGGGTTTGCAATCAATGTCAAGAAAAAAGCTGTGTGTAAACTGTTGAAAGGGAAACTAATTTGCTCTGTAAACTTTCACCTAAACAACAATAAAATGTTAAAAATAAATAAAGAGCCACTAGAGGTTTCCAAGAAATAATACTTAGCTGCCCCACATGTGTAAGAAGGACATGATTTACAGGAACGGGATTTATCTGAGAACAGGTTGGTCTGGAAACGGAAAAGGCCTGGTCCGGATGCTCTAGGCCCGTTCAGAGCCCTGGCCCTGCTGACCAGCCTGCACTCACATCACTAGTTGTTTAAGCTACCAACCCAGAAACATGGCCCCTGATGCAGCAAACCCCAGACAGACAGACAGACAGACAGAAACCCAGTTGCTCCTACTGGCGCAGGGCTCCGGCTGCTCCTAACCTGAGAAGGACCCAAGAACTGCCGTTGCCCAGAGTTGGGTCAGTAGTGGACTCCAAGTGCACTTCTCGTTAAAGTTTAACTTCTCTGACTCCTGTGGATCCAAAATGCCCTCTGCTTCCTCGGTCCTTATGCACAGAAATAAACAGAGACACCAACTCAGGTTCTAGAAATGTATCTGGATCAATACAGGGTAAGGGGAGGGGGACAGAAGTAAAAGCCTCCCCCCTCCAGCGTGCCACCTAGATTGCCAGCCAGGCCCTACAACAAGGGCCCCTAAAGGGGGCTTAGCCAGGAAAGAAAGATGGGCATTCCCCTTGTGCCCCACAGGAGTCTTAATTCCATCAAGGCAGACTGAGGCTGATTTAGAAAAAGGAGAAAACTCAGTGTAAGAATTAAAGCTTAGAGATGGTTTGCTTCTTGAGGGAAGTGACTTGCCAGTGTCTCTCAGCAAGTAAAGGGCAGAGCTGAGACTAGGACCTAGGCCTCTTGAACCCCTGTGTGGCAGGCCTTCCACTTCACCATGCTGCCTGGGAAATAATCTCCCCTCCCTCCAAAACTACTGCAGCAGTAATGTTAACTTTGGTTGGGTCAGAAGGTATAGCCACTCCTCTTCTCTTAAAATGAATATACCCCTTGAGGGGTCACACAGGAAAGGACTAGCAGTCATCACCCCAACCATAAATTAGTCAGAGCACTTTGCTCCTAAAAACTACTACTTCTTAGTTCACAGGGGGTTTTGCTGGAGAGGTAATTTGGGAACATGAGGGACCTGGGAAGGGAGAATCACCATTTATCAAGTAGCCAGACTCTGAGCCTAATGTTTTCCATACAGAATCTCACTTAATCTTTACAAAAACCTGGGAGGTAGTAACTACCTCATTTGACAGAAGAGAAAACAGAGATTCAGAGAAGGCACTCAGCTAGAAAGGGGAGCTTGGATTCAAGTGCTGCCTCCATGCAAAAACAGAACCCAGGCTGGAGCCCAGGCACCATTCAACATACTTTTGCCCTTGACCAGTGTGTGGTAAAATCTCAAAGGGTGTAGGGCAAAGTGGGGGTTTGCCATGGAGCTTTCCAGACCTCTGAACTGAGTTCTGAGAAAGAACTTTTCCACCACCTCTGATCCTGGAGATGGCTTTGAGATCAGCTGGCAGATGTGAGAGTACATACCCTCTCTCCCAAATCTCATAGCTGCCCATAAAGGAAGGGGGGCTGAGAGTGTGTGGCACGTTCCCTAATGGATGAATACTCTGTGCAAGACTGTCACTGAGTGTGCTGGCTGGAGGAACGTGGTGAACAGGGCTCTGGAAGTGCTGAGAGCAGGCTCCGGAAACAAAGGCTCTTTGTGGTTTGGACAAGAGAGAGTCTGTTGCCCCTTCTCAAAGCACTGAGGGCTGGCTCCAGAGGAGCCCTAGCCATCAGGTGGGGAGGAAACAGGAGCCGAAGGCAGCAGGGTTAAGCCATCATCCCAGGCAAATCTGAGACCAGATGCAGGCACTAGCATCTACAGAGAACCAGCTGGTCCAGCTGCCCCATAGTACAGACAACTTGGGGCCCCAAAGAGATGGGAGTGAAATGGGACTCAGATACAGTAGGGCCCTGGATGGGAACAGAACGCCCAGTCTTTGCAGCAGGACCTGTTGCTGTGGCAGGCCAGAGCTGGGCCCAGCCACGGATGTGGAAACAATACCGGGGCCAACACAGGCATTTGGACAAGTATGTTCCCAACAAGAAGGTGCTTGACAACTTTTGAACACGATACTTTGAGACTATATTCCCTCAGCCTAAGACGCAAAGTACTGCAAACAAATCTTGAACTCAATTAGTAGGTAGAGTTTTTTGCGGGCACAAATGGCATCATTTGAGTACGGACTGTACATAAGATAAGAATATCATGTTGATGTCAAATTTCCTGAATTTAATAATTATACTGTGATTATATAAGAGAATGCCTTTGTTCTTAGGATACATGCTGAAGTAGTTAGCGATAAAATGTCATGATTTCTGCCAACTTACTGTCTTCAAATAGTTCAGGAAAAAGATTTACCAAAGGGAGAGAGAGAGAGAAAGCATCAAATGTGGCAAAATGTTAACAGCTGATAATTCTAGGTAAAGTTCATTGTACTATTCTTGCAACTTTTCTATAAATTTTAAATATTTCAAAATAAAAATTAAAGTTTAAAAAAAATTTTATGTCAGGTTGTCTTGATATTGAGGATAGAATATATTAGAGAAAGATGAAAAAGATGATAAAGAAGGACAAAGATTGGCAGAACTGTAGAAAGATTCTAAGTGAAAAAGTAGGAACAAGGCAAGCAAGCATTTAAAGGGGACAGTAAAATTAATTTGGGTACAGCCATACTGTGGAGTACTTTGCAGACTGTCAAAAAAGGGAGGTAAATCTAAATGTACTGACATGGTAAAATGTCCAAGATATTCTGATAAATTTTACAACAACGAGTATAAAATGATCCTATCTAGTTTAAAAAAAAAGACAGAGAAACAAAAAAACCATATATTCTCCTATGACTGTACTTATGGAAAAGTTCATAAGACATGCAACTATTAAAACTGATCACTTCTAGAGAAGATTAGGAAGGGGTGATGAAGGCTCATTTTTTATTTTAAGTGGTTTGTAATGGAATTTTTTCTCTTGTGTGCATGTATTGCTATTGAAACTTAAATATAAAAATAAATACATAGGAAAAATAGACTATGTTCCCCAAGTATGGCTCTGAAATCTTACACAGGAAGTTTGAGAAGGTTAATTATATTGTCTGGCAAGTTACATCCTTTTGGCCACTTCCTCAGTCCGTTGGCTCTCAGCCTTTCAGGACCCAGGCAGGGTCTAATGAAATTGTTTTATTAATACATAATTAAAATACAAATTTTGAGTGATAATGCAAACTTGAGTTTCAAGAATCATTCCAACAGAAAAAGGGGGAGTGAGGTACATAGGTGGTAATGGGACAGGCATTAGAAGGTATGGGTCCAAACCCTGGCTCTGGGACTTAAGCAAATCCCTTCCCCTCTTTGAGCCCCAGCATTCTCATCTATAAATGGAAGTGGCAAAATGCTCCAACAGGGTGGCATGCCTCCAATTAGTATGTATTTACTTCACTGCCCTTCCACGTGGGTCTTAAGCAATTCTCCAAGCTAGGGACAGGAACATCCCTGTCCAACAAGCCTGGCTCCAGGGAAGCCACTCAGCTACACATCCTCCCAGGAGAAGCGGGGCCTAAATACAACAGACTGGGTAAAAGCCTAAGCACTGTGGTCTCCAAAACTGCCGAAGCAAGTCGCAGGGACCGTACTCACCTCTCGAAAACCTCCTGCTCCTTCTGCTGTGAGGCGGAAAAAAACAAAAATCAGGCTTGGCACCAGAAACCCTGTAGGTAGTGAAGACTTGAACATATTTAAGTAGCATGGAGGACTCCATGTAGACAGACTCCAGATAAAAAATACCCTTCTCCTTTAAGACCTAGTACAAAGCTTTATGCATTGTTCCCTACACATCTCCCCAGTAACACATTAAAAAAAAACAAAACCCATTGCCGGTGAGTCAATATCAACTCATAGCGATCCCACAGGACAGAGTAGAACTGCCCCATAGGGTTTCCAAGGCTGTAATCTTTATGGAAGCAGACTGCCACATCTTTCTCCTGCGGAGCGGCTGGTGGATGCGGACCTTTCGGTTAGCAGCCGAGCACTTAACCACTGCACCACCAGGGCTCTTTTCCAATAGCACATACTCAGAATAAATCCCTCTATCCCTTGTGCCTCACAACATTCTGGGTTCCCCTCAACTACACTTTAGGATAATCATCTATTTACCCGACAGCATCCCCCATTAAAACTGTCAGCTCCCAGATGGCTGGGACACTTTCTGAACCTTCTATTGTGATTCTCCCAGTGTTCAGGACAAAATGTGCTCTGTACATGGAAGCTGTATAACTAAATGAATGCAAAATCTAGGACAGTTATGGAAACTGCCCTAATTGTAACTGCGATGGGATACATCAGTTATTCTACATTCTCATTCCTTGGCTTGGCAATTTTATTCAGGTATCACATTGTTGCCTCAAAACTGCAGGCATCTGCATATTTATATAAAATAAGTTCAAAGGATATGTACCAAAATGTTAATCATGGTGACTTCTGAGTGGTAGGATTAAGGATGAGCTCTATGTTCTCATATTCAACCTCTTTTCAGGTTCCCCAAATAGTGTTCTCTCTGCATACTTCTGAACTCTCTCCACTTCCTTTAACCTAGCTAATTTTTTCATCTTTCAGGCATCAGCCTCTAACACACTTCCTCCAGGAAGCCTTTCCTGACCCCCATCTGGTTTGTGGGGCCTTCTAGCTCCCAATGATTTCCTTTAGCATAGCACATATCCCTCCATATCCTAATTGTCAGTTTATGTATCTGCCTCCTTTTAAGGCTGCAAGTGACTGACAGCTGTATCCTGCAACTCCACCTCATAGCACAGTGCCTAGCACATAGTCCACCCAAAACCAAACTCACCACCGTCAAGTCAATTCCAACTGATAGAGTTTCCAAGGCTGTAAATCTCTACAGAAGCAGACTGCCACATCTTTCTCCCGCAGAGCTGCTGGTGGCTTCGAACTACCAACCTTTCAGTTAGCAGTCGATTGCTTTAACCACTGTGCCACCAGGGCTCCTTTAGCACATAGTAGGCGCTCAGTAAGTATTCGCTCACTATTAAAAGAATATTGTCATCTGGTATAAAAATGATCCATATAATTTCATTCTCCTGTCTCTCCCCTGCTTGAAATCCTCATTCCAGTAAACATTCTCAATGTTTTCAAACTTTTGGGGAGTCTGGCCAACTGGCTGTCCCCCTACCCATGCCAGACTTACAATCAGCTGGAGGTCATCCAGATGAGTAAGCATGCCCACCAGGCTAGTGCGAATGGTGTCAAGCTTCTGCAGCACCTCAGCCCAGTGCACCCGCTGTGTCAGGATACTCTGGTGGACCCGCTCCTCTTCACCGTGCACCTGTTCCAGCAACCTCTGCTCCTCGCTCTCACACAGACTTCGTATCAGACTCAGCCGCTGAATGACCAGTTCTCGTGCTGCGCTGGCCATGCTCTGTCAAAGGATAAAACATGGAGTCAGTTCCTGGCAAAGCCCCAGTAAAGATTAGGAGGGTTTCGGCTCAGCTGAAACGAGATTGATTAGCAATGTCTGCCATTGGCATGGTAAGGGAAGTGACAGTGCTTAAGCTATTTTCTTTGCCATCCAGTCCTAGGACTTCACAAATATGATTAAGGGTAAAGAAAAAAAGAAATCTGAGATCCAGACACCCAGGCCATAATTCCTGAAGCCAGGATCACAGAATGAAAGAGCTAGGCAGGATTTAGAGATCATTTAGAATTGCCTGCTTATTTCACAACTGGGAATACCAAGGGTGAGAGACCAAGGTCATAGAACCATACAACTGTAGGCAGAAGAGCCTAAAAAGTCATCCACATCAACAGTGTCTGTACACATGATGGTCCAGTTGATATTCTGACCATGTCTGAGGACAAAAAGCTCATTACTTCTAAAGTTGTCCATTCCAACTGGTTCTGTAGTAGAATTCTTATCTGCCACACAGGAGGCCTGAAATTAATTCTCAGTCAATGAAGTTAACAAGTACCTTCTTCTAGCCCCTAGCACAGTGCCTGGCACACAGTAAGTACCCAAATATTTACTGAATGACTGAATGGGAAAGTTTTCCCTGACTTAGTGTAAAATCTCTTGATAGTGTTCACATGGTAAGCCAGTGTCAGAGCTGGGAATAGAACCCTGTTCTCCTGAGTCTCAGTCCAGTGCTTTTTCCCTACACTAGATACCAGCTGGTAACCAATACTTCCCAAAGGCGCCTGCCACATGAGGCATCTACACTCTTGCCAGACAAATGAGAGAAGAACCGCCACCTTCATGCCAGAGAGTAGAACTGCCACCTTCAAAGTCAGCAGCTTTACCTGTGCCCTGCCCCTGAAGACCTGCTTTGAAAAGTAAAAGGGACAATCATCCTTGTTTTACAGAAAAAAACTGAGATGCCACAATTTGCCTGGTAGAAAGAGTGACTAAGTGAGTGGCAAGTGAATCCAGGAGTGCAAACTAAATAGAAAACCCAAAATAAAATAATAGCTATACATCCACATATATCAACAATCACAATATTGATAAACAGATTAAACTGTCTAGTTAAAAGGCAGGGATTGCCAGACTGGATTAAATAAAAAAAAGGAAAGAAAAAACAAAACCCAGTAATAAGACATACCAAAAACATAAGAAAGGAGCCCTGGTGGTGCAATGGTTAAGTGTTCAGCTGCTAACCAAAAGGTCGGTGCTTCGAACCCACCCAGCTGCTATGCAGGAGAAAGACCTGGCAATCTGCTCCCATAAAGATTACAGCCTAGAAAACCCTATGGGGCAGTTCTACTCTGTCACATGGGGTCACTATGAGTCAAAAATCAGCTCGATGGCACCTAACAACAACAACAAAACATAAGAACACAGAAAAAGTTGGAAGGAAAAGAAAAAATATACAAGGAATGAAAAATCTGAAAAGGCAATTGAGAAAACAATTCTGTTTACAATAGCAACTAAAAGAATAAAATACCGAGGAATAAATTTAACCAGGGAGGTAAAAGACTTGGACACTGAAAACTGTAATACTCTGTTAAAAGAAATGAAAGGATACCTAATAGAAAGACATTCTGTGTTCATTAATTGGAAGACTTAATATCATCAAGATGTCAATATTACACAAAGCAATCTATAGAGCCAATGCATAAAGGGTTATTATAAAATGATAAAAATTATTTACTAAGAATATATAACAAATGTAAATTGTATACATTAATAACATACTGTCAAAATATTAAAATGATAATTGACAGAATTCTGAGGAAAAATAAGACAAATCTATTCACAGCTATAATGTGAAGATTTAAATGCCCTTGCCAGTAATCAATAAATCTAGCAGATAAAAAATTAGTAAGGATAGAGAAGATCTGAACTAGTTAATAAATTTAATAATAGACATATTTAGGATGCTAGTGGTTAAAGCGTTCAGCTGCCAACCAAAAGGTTGGCACTTCAAACCCAACAGCCACTCCACGGGAGGAAGATGTGGCACTCGGTTTCCATAAAGATTACAGCCTTGGAAACCCTATGGGGCTCTTCTACTCTGTCCTATAGGGTCGCTATGAGTTGGAACTGACTCGACGGCAACAGGTTTTGGTATCTGTGGTTTCACTTTCCACAGTTTCAGTCATCCTGGGTCAACCACAGCCCAAAAATATTAAATGGAAAATTCCAGAAATAAACAGTTCATAAGTTGTAAACTGCTCACTGTTCTGAGTAGTGTAATGAAATCTCACCCCATCCCGCTCCGTCTGACCAGGACGTGAATCATCCCTTTGTCCAGGGTATCCAAGCTGTATACGCTACCTGCCTATTAGTCACTTAGAAGCAGTCTCAGTTATCAGATTGACTGTCGCAGTATGGCAGTGCTTGTGTTCAACTAACCCTTATTTTACTTAATAATGACCCCAAAGCACAAGAGTAGTGATGCTGGCAATTCCAACATGCCAAAAAGAAGCCGCACTTCCTTTAAGTGAAAAGTGGGAGTTTTCAACTTAAGATATTTTGAGAGAGAAAGACCACATTCACGTAACTTTTATTACAGTATATTGTTATAATTGTTCTATTTTATTATTAGCTATTGTTGTTAATCTCTTACTGTGCCTAATTTATAAAGTAAACTTTATCATAGGTATGTATGTATAGGAAAAAACATAGTATATATAGGCTTTGGTATTATCCACGGTTTCAGGCATCCTCTGCGGGTCCTGGAAGAATCCCCACAGATAAGGGGAGTCTACTGTACTTGTGAAACATTAACTACATATTAGGGCATGAAGCAACACCCAATCATTTTAAACATTTGACATCACAGAGTACAATGTAATCAAGTTAGAAATCAGTTAAAAAAAAAAAAAAAAGGTAAAACCATACATTTGGAGATATAAAAACATTTTTAAGTATTCATAATCAAATAAGAAATCATAATGAAAGTTTAAAAATACTTATTACTAAGTAAAAATGAAAATACTATGCATCAAATTTGTAGTATATAGCTCTATCAGTACCTAGAAGGAAAATTTATAGCTTTAAATGCTTGCCTTGAGAAAAAATAAACTAAAATTAATGGGTTTTGTTCAACTCAGCAAGTTAAAAAACATCAGAGTATATCCAAAGAAATTAGCAGGAAAAAAATGATAAAGAGGAAACAATAACGAAGTAAAAAACAACGATATAAAACAGAGAAGCAAAAAAACCCCAAAAGCTGGTGTTACTTTGAAAAAACTAATAGTCAAACCTGTGGTAACTTTAGTAAGCAAAGAGAAAAGGCAAAATAAACAATACTAGGAGTGAAAGTTGGACATCTACATACAACAAAGATTTTAAAATCATAAGACTAAGAACAACTTCATGTCATTAAATTTAAAAATAGATGAAATAGATAATTTTCCCGGGAAAAACTTACCAAAACCAATTCAAGAGAAAAGAAAGAACAGGAATAATCCTATAATCATGGTGGAAAATGAATCAGTGGTTAAAAATCTACCAACAAAAACACCAAGCCCAGATAGTTTTACAGGGAGTGTCACGAAACATCCATGGCACAGATAATTCCAATCTTACACAGTTTCAGTAAAAACAGAGAGTTCTGTTTCCCAACTCATTTAATGAGGCTTATATAACCTTGACACCTAAATCTGATAAGGACTGTACAAGAGACAAAATTCATAGGCTAACCTCACTACTGAGTACAGATGCAAAAATCCTAAAAATCCTTAAACTAAAATTGTGGTTGTTGTTGTGTGCCATTGAGTCGATTCCAACTCACAGCAACCCTATATGAGAAAGTAGAACTGCACCACAGGGTTTCCTAGGCTGTAATCTTTAGGGAACAGATCGCTAAGTCTTTTCTCCCTTGGAGCCACTGGCAGGTTCAAACTGCCAACCTTTCGGTTAGCAGCTTAACATTTAACCACTGCACCACCAAGGCTATGTTAGAGCCCATTGTTGCAGCCACTGTGTCAGTCCATCTTGTTGAGGGTCCTCCTCATTTTCACTGACTCTCTACTTTACCAACCACGATGTCCTTCTCTGGGGACTAGTCCCTCCTGATGACGTGTCCAAAGTACATGAGATGAAGTCTCACCGTCCTCTTTTCTATGGAGCATTCTGGCTGTACTTCTTCCAAGACAGATGTGCTCATTCTTCTGACATAGCACATATTTTATGTTATTGTACCTTTCCCCTGACTAGGATGTAAACTTCATAAAAATAGGAGTTTTCATATGTTTTGTTCACTGTGGAATTCCCAGCACAAACAACAGTGCCTGCCATGTGGAGGTGCTCAATAAGGATTTGTTGAATAAATGAATGGTGAAATGTTGGAAGTATTCCCCTTAAAGTTAGGATCTGCTACACTAACTTCTATTCAACATTCTACTGAGGTCCTAGCTAGTGCAGTGCGTCAAGAAAATGTAAAGGATGGAAATGAGAGAGAGAGAGCAAGAGGTCATCACGCAAAGAGAAACAGAAATGGATACAAAATAGTTGCCTGGACCCCTAGCAGTTTTCTAGTTCCTTGTTCTAGACCCCTTTAGGTTCTGAAAGACCCCTGTATCCTGCCAGGAAATTCCCTGTTCTGCTTATGCTAGTTCAACTGGGTTCTGCTCCATGTGATCAAGAGCCTTGACTGTGACAGTGCCAAGCCTGCCCCCTGTCCCATAAGAAGTAGGAAGGGAATGTATAGAAATTAAGGGCCCCTGTCCCTGACAGGCATTGGCATATTGCATGGCTGAGAGTGAAGATATACCAGTGGCAATGAGACAACGGAAGAAAGGATCAGCAGTGGGATGTATCAGAAGGAGCACTGGCCTGGGAGGCGGAAGACCCAGGTCATAGACCTGACTCTACCAGGGAAGCTGTGGGACCTTGGACAGGTCAGTTAACCTCTATAAGACCCATTTCCTCATCTGTGAACAGGGATGTTACAGCCACCTACTGCATAAAATTGTTGTAGGAAACACTTAATATAAAAGTCTCTAGGTTGTTTTATAATTCTGGGGCTGTGCACAAAATAAGTAGGTGGTTGAGGAATATTACCCTTCCTGATCCCCTATCCCATGATACCCAAGATACACAAGAAAGTAGTCTTTACACCCAGTGTGTGACTGGAATAAGCTCACTCTGCTCAGATGGTAAAATAAAAACAAGGATCAGGGAGGTAATAAACCATCCTTCCTGGACATCCGGCTCCACTAGAAGCATAACGAGTCTGTGTGAATAGGAAGGAACCCTAGACTGGTACAAGACCCTAAGGCTGGGGTCTTCTCCTGGGAGGGGACCAAGAGCAGACAGGGAAGGGGAAGAATTACCACTGCTCTCTGGTTCTTTCCTGTCAGGACCTCTGCCACATACTTGGTGATGCAGGCACTCTGCGACTGCAGCCTTTCACACTGGTCCACAATCTTGTTCTGCAACACAAACCACACCCATGTTGATCCATGTATATGATCCATCACACTATTCCAGTTTTTTTTTTCCTTCTACCCCATCTCAGGCACCCACTCCCAGACTTCATCATTACTGATAATTATACCAAAAACAAAACAAAACCCATTGCCTTCGAGTCAATTCCGACTCATAGCCACCCTATAGGACAGAGTAGAACTGCTCCCATAGGGTTTCCAAGCTGCGACTGGTGGATTCGAACTGCTGACCTTTTGGTTAGCAGCCAATTTCTTAACTACTGTGTCACCAGGGCTCCTTGATAACTATAAAAAACTCAAAAACCAAATCCATTGCTGTTGAGTCAATTCCAACTCATAGCAACCCTATAGGACAGAATAGAACTGCCCCATAGGGTTTCCAAGGCTGTAATCTTTAACAGAGCAGACTACCACATCTTTCTCCCACAGAGTTGCTGGTAGGTTCGAACCACCAACCTTTTGGTTAGCAGCAGAGTGCTTAACCACGGTACAACCAGGGCTCCTTTGATAACTATACCCAAACACCAAACCTGTTGCCGTCGAGTCAATTCCAACTCATAGCGACCCTATAGGACTGAGTAAAGCTGCCCCATAGAGTTTCCAAGGAGCAGTTGGTGGATTCCAACTGCTGACCTTTTGGTTAGCAGCCAAGCTCTTAACCACTGCGCCACCAGAGCTCCCTTAATGACTATACCACCTCCACCTCCAGAATCTTCATTTCAAGGGTCCCATACCCTGTCTACATATTCTACCCTAGATCTCTAACTTTTAGAATCCTCACTCCAACAATTCTTCAGCTCAGTTGAGGTTGCCATTTCACTGGCCACTTTTTACTTTCCATCATCCCCCTTTGTGGACTCGCTTTCCTCTTTATTCTGAAATTCCTTGGCCCATCATTATAATCACTTTTGTGCATACACTGTCAACTCTTTTGGCCTCTCTCCCTCCTTCCTAACCAACTCCCTGACTCTCCACACCTGCCCCTGAGCAGAACATGGCTTCTCAAAAACTGTTCTTGGCCAAGCTATCACTATTCATGAAACAGCACCATCAATCACCGACCTCATTACCCAGACAAAAACCCAGGATTTTCCCTCCAACCCCACATCTAATCAATCAAAGAGTCCTACTAGCCCTGTCTCCAAAGTATCTCTCTCCTCTGGCCACATCTCATCACCTCAACTCCTGCTATTCAGCCCAGATCTCCATCATCTCTACCAGAACCACTGTAAGAATCTCCTTACTGGGCTTCCATTTTTGACCCCCACAGTCAGCCAGAGCCACCTTTTGCAAGGAAATCAGATTAGGCAATTGTCTGCCAACCTAAAGGTCAGCAGTTGGAACCCACCAGCCGCTCTGCAGGGGAAAGATGTGGCAGTCTGCTTCTGTAAAAATTTACATCCTTGGAAATCCTATGGGACAGTTCTACTCTGTCCTATAGGGTCCCTGTGAGGGTAATGGGTTCAGTTTTGGTTTTGGTTGCTCAAATCTTGTTTTCCGATACACACACAATAAGATCAAGTTTCTTAGCTTAGTCAGCTAGGCCCTACCTGATGTGACTTGGCTTATCTCTCCAGTGTCACCACCTCCTACCATTTTCCACACTGGCCTTTTTGTTCCTTAAAAACACCAAATTTGTTCTGACCTCAGTGCCTTTGTACTTGTTGTTCCTTCTGCCTCTACCAGTCTTCCCTCATATTTCTGTGTGACTCATATTCCCTTCCCACTTCACTCAGGTCTCTGCTTAAATGTCACCTCTTCAGAGAGAGGTTCCCTGACCATTCCCCATTCCCCATTCCCTTACTTTGCTTTGTTTTTTCCCTTGTACCTAGACTCTGACTGCATATTATATATTTGTTTACTTTTTTGTTTTGTTCTATCTGTCCCCACCACCACTGGAACATAAGCACCATGACTTAGACCTGTTCTCTGCTGTGTCCCAGTATCTAGAAGAGTTTCTGCACCTAGAAGACCCTGAGTAAATGTTGATTGAATGAACACCCACTGCCTTGACCACAAAAGATTCAACCATTCACAGTTTCAAAGCTGAGCATCACCCGTGGAAGCAAGGAAAGAATTTTAGAAATGGGGAAGCTGAGGCCCACAGAGAAGTGATTTGCCCAAGGAGACATGGCCAAGCCCCTGTTCTTCCACTCCATTTCTCCAGGTGACAACTGGGGCCCTTCCAAGCAGCCCCTCCCCCATTTCCCACTCAGACTCCTCCCCTAGGAGCTTTGCCCCAGTTCTAGCTGCCAAAAGGCAACTCAGCTACCTCTTCCAGGAAGCCCTGGAAAACCCTTTTCCCCAAAAGAAATTAGGCTTACATTTCACAAATCCAAATAAAAAGTTGTAAAATTTAATTGACTCAGAGGAAGCTGCAATGGAACTCATCATGGGACTGAGGGAACTGAGCAGTTTTGAAAACCTATGTGGTAGGAATCCAGGTTACAGAGAGAGGGGTTGAACTGGTGCTGTTTTTGTCTAGTTCAGTCACAATTTTGCCCTGCGGTGAAATTTCTTTGCTAGCTGAAGGGATAGGGGAAGGAGTTTGCAAAAGACTTACCTACTCAGAATTGGAGGGAGAGAGGGCAAGACCTGTCCCTCCAGGCCTAAGAGAGATAAGAAAGCTGAGGGCCTCAGCAGGGTGCAGGGGAGGCGCCCTGGGGCAGAGTGCATTCCTAAACAACCACCCTGTCCTAGCCTTCATTCCTTCACCCACTCAATCCAACTCTGGCAGCAACCTTTTTTTTTTTAAGGTTTTCAGGAAATTCTCACTGGCGTTAGCATCATCGACTTCCTCTTGCTTAGTCAATGACCGCCCCCACCAGGTCCAGCCCCTAAACCTTAGGAACCTTGGGGGAAGTAACTGCACTATTCCAGGACTCAGTTTCCTCATCTGTAAAATGTGGGTAGTGCCTTCACTTCAAAGGCCTGGTCTGGATAGAATGAGAGGACAGATATTAAAGTAATTTGGAATTTGCAAACTTTTTATCCATTACACAAGTTTATTATAACACATTGTGTAAGTTTATTATCAGCATTATTGATGATAGTGGTGCTGACAGTTAGGATCAACCAGGAGCTTTCTGGCCTCAGCACGCTGTAAGGTGTGTTTGTTACAGGCGGTCTGAGTAGGTAAAGCCCCTTAGGCCTCACAGCAGGGCTGGACTCAGGGTGATGTTCGGAGAATCAAGCCGTTTAATCAAATGACAAAGAAATCCCCCAGGGACCACAGATTAGGGTAGAAGGAGGAAGGCCCAACCTCAGCAGCTCACAAGAGGGGTGGTGACTGGAAGATCATCAACCTGAGGCAAACTGGAAGTGGAGGTGGGGAGAAACCTTAGCTGAAGGGCTCCAGCAGGTACCCCTTGATATCCTCCCCTCCCCCTCGGTTTATCCCGATGAAACCAGCTTGTAGTCAAGGCCAGTCGTGAAAACGAAAAGAAATCACCTCACCAGGAAGCCAGAAGAGTGAAGGCAGGGGTTTTGAGAAGAGGGACCGAGGGGTGAGGAGGGCCAGGGTTTTATCAGAAGTCAGCTTCCGCAGGGGCTAGAGTTGGGGCACACCTGGCCCCGGGGAGCTGGAGCAACGGAGCCCTCTACTGTCTAAGGCCAGCCGTAGCTCTCCTTTCCCTCAACAGTGCAATGGGGGAGGAGGGGGCAGATGGATTTGCCAGAATAACTTTTAGTTGAGCTTCCTATGTGACAGGCACAATGGCTAAGCAGCATTTTACCCATAATCTTATTGTATCGCACAACAACCCTAAAAAATGTGAGTTACTATTGCCCCCAAACTACAGATGAAGAAACTGAGGCTCCGATGCGAACGCAGAGGTGAGACTGGAACTCAAGCCACACCCTTAACCGCCTTGTTCTACAGCCAATGCCACCGAGGTGCCTGGGCTTCCTCACCTGCCGTCGGTTCCACCGGACCCCAGGCTGCCCCTCCTGCCGGTCCCGCCCGGCGCACCGCCCTGGCGCGTCTCCCCAGGGCTCCCTCCCTCTGGTGACCCCAGCTTCCGGCGCCCAAGCGAGCTCACCCGCATCTCCTCGGCGCGCTCCTCGGCCCGGCGGATGCGGTGCCCCCGGCAGCGGCCGCCCAGCTCCGCGCAGGCGGCACACACAAGCCGCCGCTCGGAGCAGCAGAACCAACTCAGAGGCTGGCCGTGTTCGGGGCAGAGCAGCCCCGACTGGGATCCGGGCCCGAACCCCGGCCCCGCGCCCTCCGAGGACATGGCAGAGTGCCTGTCGCCGCGCGCTCCACCTGTCGCAGGTGGCTGCTGGGCGGGGCCTCCTGACCCCGCCCGTAGCTCCGCCCAGCGTGCCCGCGCGACCAGGCGCTGCGCTAGCTCCCGCCTAGCTCTCCTGGCTTGGTGGGTGAGGACTTGGCAACCGCAACCCTACGACCCCCCAGACCCGCCGGCCTCAGTCCTTCGACCTTCGGCCAACTTTTTGATTCTCTGCTTAATGAAATCACATTGTACGCGTGTTGTTGTTTGTTTTTTTTTTAAACAAACACAAAACACCAGTATTACTGGTGACCACAGGAAACTTCACGAATCTCTGGATGGTGCAAAGGGTTAACGAGCTTGGCTGGTGGGAAGGTTGGCCTTCTAAGTACACCCAGAGGCGGCCCTAAGAAAGGCCTGGCGATTTGGTTCCGAAAAAGCAGCCATTGGAAACCCTATGAAGCACAGTTCTACTTTGACACACATGAAGGCGCTATGAATCAGAGTCAACGGCAACTGGTTTGTATAAGAAACTTTACTGAGCACTTATTAAGTGCTAAATGCTTTACACGTATTGTATCATTTAATCCTCACAACAACCGTTTTTGAGAGGCAGGTTTAGAAGAGTAGCTAAAATCCTACTTAGCTGCTCACTAACTGAGTACTCTTCAGGGCTTGAGCTGTTAAATGGGGATAATAAAAGTACCTACCTCATAGATTTGTGCTGAGTATCGAAGGAGCTAAAATAGTATCTGGCACGTAGACAGCTGTTAAAATTCCTAAGCATCTGCGGATAGTATGAGGGAAGTACAATTATGATCCCCACTTTTATGAAGGTTAAGTAACTTGCCCAGGGTCACAGTTACTAACCGGTAGCAATGAGATTGGAACCCAGACAGTTTGATTTATGGTTAATATGATCAATAATTTTTTAGTTGGACATTAAGGCCCAATGAGAAACATCTGTGTTAGGCAGATCTTCCCAAAGTATTTACATCCAATTTTTCTTAATTTGAATTTTTGGTGTGTGCTTTTTTTTTTTAGCTAGCATTGAAAAAAGTATACATGTTTATTGAAGAAAGTAGAAAATGCAAATAAGTACGTGGAAGAAAATCCCACCTTCAGAAATAACTACTGCTAACATGTTTCTGCCACTACTCATATGTCAGTTTGCCATACTGTGGTGGCTTGCATGTAACTATGATGCTGGAAGCTGTGCTCCTGGTATTGCAAATACCGGCAGGGTCACCCATGGAAGACAGGTTTCAGACTAGACAGACTAGGAAGAAAGGCCTGGCAATCTATGTCCAAAAATTAGCCGATGAAAACCATATGGATTACAATCGAAAACTGTCCAATAAAGTGCTGGAAGATGCTGAAACAATGAAGTCAAACATACCCAGCAGAGCCAGGCAATTTTTTTTTAATGTTATACATGAGTCCGAGCCAACTTGATGACACCTAACAACAACCACATATAACCTGAGCTGTTTTAGGGCTTTTTTTATCCAAGATCTAATAATTAGAGGCCACCAGATTGAGGCCTCTGCTGGGGATCCACTCTGTCTGGACATCCAAAGACAGCACTACTCCCCAACTCCCAACCTCTGCCTTTCAAGGTCTTGGTAGAGGGCTGTGGAAAGAACTCAGCTTAAATGAGAAAGGCCCAGATCTTGGCTGTTTGAGGGGATTCTGAGTTCATCAGAACTGGACACACGTGAGAGCAAAAACTGAAAGAGAGACATCATTACATCCCGGCTTCAGCCTTTGAGGGGTAAGGGCACCCAACAGCTTCAGGGCTCCCATAACAGTACTGACTGGGGTCACCCGAAACATAAAAATACTACACTCTTGATGAAAGAACTCAGAGTGGAATATAGGATCACTGGTTCCATTCCCATCTATGGCACTTAAAGCTATATTACTTGGGTGGGGTTATTTCACCCCTCTGTGTTTCGACTTTCTCATCTATAAAATGATTATAATAGTGTATACCTTAGAGGGCTGCTGTAGAACTAAATGAGATCTCGTCTGCAAAGTACTCTTAGCTTGGTTATCTGGCATTACAGTAGGGGCTAATAAATGTTTGTATGGTGTGTGTGAGGATCTGTAAATATATTTCTGGTTTTGAGAATGTCAATTGTGTGGGGTTCTTTGACAACGGGAGTACAGCGTTCGTAGCTTTAAAAAAAAAAAGTTTTCCAGTGCGTACCACTGGGAGGGTGATGACCTCATAATGGCGTTTACCTTCTTCTGGGGGTGAGGGTGGAAACTGGTGTCAACGGTAGAGACCACACTGTGGTTTGAATTTTCGTGTGTTCTAAGGGCTGGTGGGTGGGGGTGGGAGTAGCTATTAAGCCTTGTGAGGAAAAAGAAAACAAGAAATGCTTTTTGTGTGAAGGCTAAAGAGAAAAAAGATTGTAGGGGAGTATGGACGAGTAGGGGTTCTTGTTTTGGGGGAAGGCAGGACTCCTTCAGTAGGTGTGACTCTGGGAGCAATCTGTGACCCTAGGAGGGCTGGAGTCAGAAAAACCAAACAAAGTAAAACTAAACCTGTTGCCATTGAGTCGATTCCAACTCATAGCAACCTTACAGGACAGAGTAGAACTGCCCCATAGGCTTTCCAAGGAATGGCTGGTGGATTTGAACTGCCAACCTTTTGGTTAGTGGCAGAGCTCTTAACCACTGCACCACCAGGGCTCTGGGGGTCACAAAACCAAGTACAAAATCACCTGAAGTGCTTCCAGGCAGAGGGACTAGCAAAAGCAAGAGGATAAGGTGGGAGTGGATTTACTTTTTATAATACAGGAATCATTGGTTCTACCACTTAGGGGCTGAGCTAGACTGGAAGGGGAGAATCAGTCCCTCTCCAAAATGTGCATCAGGCCCTGCACAGACACCTCCCCATGAGGCCTAGAATGCTCATAAACTCCCAAGTGGTGGCTCTCAAGCTTTATGGGGCCTCAAATGATCTTCACTAAATCTGGGGTGGACCAGAAATCTGCATTTGTAATAATTGCCCCATGATTAGGATGCAAATGAGCCCTCTGACCACTTTTAGAAACACCCTAAGGCAGTGTTTTCAAACCACAGGTTCTGACCCAATAATAGGTGGTGAAATCAATTCCAGGGGTGGAGACTAACATCTAAAGAGAGAGAGAGAGAAGGTGTAGAGGGAGGGAAGGAAAGAAGGAAAGGAAGGAAGGAGGAAGCATTGCTCATAAAACGATTTTTGTTGTTGTTGTTTCAGTTACATATACGTGTGAGCACTGGGAAAGGAATATATTTCTTACTGAGGGTCATGGTCAACTTTGAAAGCTGCTGCTGTAAGGGGATCTCTGGACCCTTGGTAGGGGCAAGGTGTGTATGTGGGGTTGTACTTGAACTCTAGGGCTTGCCTCGGCCAGATACCCTGAGAAGAATGACACCTTTGTTACATTTCAGTCACTCAACAGGTTTATTGAGCACCTACTAGGAGCCTGGGCGGTACAAGTGGTTTGTCAGTTCGTACCCAAAGTTTCTTTTTATGCCATGAAGTTTGAACCCCTTTCACCAAAGAACCTCATGCAACTTGCATTCTCAAAACCTGCTACCAGTATATTTACAGACCCTCACATATAATAAAACATTTATTAGCTCTTATTGTATGGCATGAGGTTCCTAGGTAGCATAAGAGGTTTGCCTACGAGGCAGAGGTCAGACATACCTCCCTTTCCAATTTCTTCCCTATTTCTGACTCTAGCCATCTCCCTGCCCACAGGGCACTCTCTACTTCTCTGCAGAGTTTGATAATTCCTTCCAATAGCTACAAAGAACTCACAGACCATACAATTATGAGTTTTATTCAGGAAGTAACAGGCTACAACTCAGGATCACTGTCAACTTGGAAGTAACAAGAATAACTCAGGAGACAGGATGCAGTTTGTCAATCAGGACAGCTTCCAACAAGGACAGCTCTCTTGGTTGTCCTCGGCTGTGCCTGCAGGCAGGCCACCCTTCTTAGCCACACATGCCCTTCTCTGCTACCACCATGCTGCCTGGGGCCTGCATGGCTCCCCAGGCTTCTACTCTGCACTGGGCCCTCCTAGGCCTCTGCTTGCTGTCGCCCTTTCTCTGCTGCTTGGCTCAGCCGTGCTTGCCTTCTCACGCCATCTTTAGTGTTACAGCCCTTTCTTCTGGGTTGAGGAGGTTCTTAGTACAGCGACTCTGGGTCCAAAGGAAACACTCTGCTCCAGACTTTTCTTGATGGTAGTGAGGTCCCCACTCCACTCTGTAGGGTTGGCCGCTTATTTAAGCAAACTCCCAGCAAGATCACCAACTGACCATTATCCACAAGCCACTCAGTCCTATTGGGTGGATTTTCAAGCCCCTGTTTGCAAAGCAAATGGAAGGTATGTAAAATAGACCTGTCACTGGCAGACTGGCCCAACCAATCATTTTTGGCAGAATTATAGACCCCAGGCCAGAAAGACCATATATAAGAGAAACCCACTGAACTGTAAAACCCTATGGAGCAGTTCTACTCCGTAGCACATTGGGTCACCGTGAGTTGGAATCGACTGGACAGCAATGGTTTTTTTTCCATTGTATGACATAGGTAGGAGTGTATTTATTTTTATAAAATTGTGATTATCTATCTGTACTGCCTTTTCACTTGCCCATTTATAATATTTGGTTTTGGCTTTTTTTTTTTTAACTTTTTGGTAGTGAACATTTTGGCAAGTCTTTGTGAAAGGACTATTCTTCCTTGGCCTTTACTGTCTTTCTCAGGCCTGCTCCTGAACAGAAGACCTAGCCCCACCTGCCTTGTAGGATCCAGCCCCAGCGCCTGCCCTGCCCTGCCCTGTCCCCATTCCTCCTTCCTCCTCAGACAGTGATTCGTCTTTGGTGTCAGGGCTGTAAGTCATCTGACTGGGGTTTGCACAGTTTCCAGGAGCAACAATAAGACTATCAACGCTGTGGCTTCTTTTCCTTCCGTGATGTTTTCACAGCACAGCCCACTTCAACTGTCGCTTTTGTTGGGGGCTTGACAGTCAGCAAGTGCAGAGA